TCTCGATAGCAGAAACGGAAAGCAGCTTTGGAATAGGCGTTGAATTCTGCGTTGAATAACCCATGGCACATGCCATTTGTGCCACCACATCAAGTTGATATATCTCTTGTTAGCATGATTGGAGGTTAACCCTTGCTGATCCATCGCGGAACTTCAAGGGATTTCTTCCTAAATTAAATTTCAGAGTATTTTTTTTTAACTTTCTTTGTTCGTTATCATCACTATTTTTTTAGATATAGATCTCGTTGGGAAATCGCTCGATGGATTCGCGGAATTCCAGGCTCAACGTGAAAAGGATGAACACAAGGAATTCTTCTGGAAAATGCAGGATGAATGAGTCGATCAAGATGTCAATGGAAACTCGGTGAACGCTGAAACTGAAAGTGGAGCGGATGAGCCAAATGTAAAGCAAAAAGAGAAAGGCTATGTGAAAACAAAGTTGGCTGCAATAAAAATGGGCAAAGATGTTTCAATCGATGCGGCTACCACCTATGGAATAGCTCGAAGTTGCATGAAAAGTTACATCAACAAGAAGCCAATCTTGATCAGATTCACGGAAAACTGAAAGGACTCAATTGATCTGGACGCCAACTAAATTCGGAAGAGATTGATACTGGATTGACTCAGTGGGTTCGAGATTGTCGGACAGAGAAGAAACGAGTGACGTGTCGAATCATTTGGATACAAGCGGCAACACAATTTGCTGCTGCTGAAATTGTTTTCAAGTGAAGCCAAATGGAAGTCGTCGTTTTTGCAGTGACACGGGTTTTCTCTGAGAGCCCCAACAACAACTTGCCAGAGTGCCCCAACAACCAAGCGAATTTGAGGTTGTCGTCAACCAAATGCCACATGCCGCAACCAGCAGATTCAGCGTCGAATGCTCTGTTCAAACAACAAATTCGAGATCAATACGAGGACTGGATCGTGATCAAAGAGCTTCATTCAAGGCAATCACATTGACGCCTTCAAGAACACCGAGGGAGAGATGTTCAAGAAAACGTTGAATTCATCGATTCGGATGTTTCTATTGAGTTCGCTTATTAGTTCTTTTTGTTTCGCTTGACTGTTAAGTTTTTCAATTGTTAAAACTAAATAGAAGCTAAAGAAAAAGTTTCCTTTGGAATGAATTATTTGAATGCATCCTAATTCGGTCACTTGAATACGAAAGATTACCTAAAACACAAGCAAAACTTTCACAGAACTTTTATGCTTGATTTTTTTCAATAATAGTTGCAAGGAATTTTCCGATAATCACTTGTAAGTTTCAAATTTTCATAACTCATTTTTTGAATTCATTAACTCACAAAAATTTTTCCGAATATTTGCTATCTTATTTAAATATTTGATGACTCATCACTTTTGAGAAAACTCTGAAAAAGAATTCACTTTCAAATTTCAGATAATCAAATCCAATACTTTTCAATGAATCCCACGAATCTTCACAAACAAAATGTTTAGTAATCTTTTGATTAAACACCATTTTATACGTATTAGATGAACACAAATCTGTTGAGGTGAAAAGAGGGAAAATGTGGTCAACTGATAAGGGAAATGTATAAAAAGGAAGTGAAGCAACGAAAAAATGACAAAAGGAATACAAAAGTTTTGCTGAGTTTCTTCGAAAAGACCAAAGGATGAATTCAATGGCAAAACTCGGCTTTGACAGGTTGGTGTATAAATTTGCTGCAAGTTAAGCAAGATAGGTACCCAGTTTGGCTATGACCAGGGTTGGGAAAAACCGTTTTTGCCGAAATTGGAAGCGCGATCTTAACCAAAAGCCTAATGATCCCAACGAATTTTGATATTTTCAGAACCCTGAACTCTTTGCAAGACTCGGACGACCCGCACGAGGTGACTATCGATGAGAAATGGATGGACGTCTAACCCAGATCTGTACCACAAAAATTTCCCGAATCTCCAAATCCAGATCTGATTCTTTTCTATGAATAGTTTGTTAGCATGTACTGTGAATGAAATAAAAGAAAAAGCAAAAGAAACGACAATATAATTTGCACGAATCATTTATTGCTTTGATTCATCTTGGTGTGGACTTGCTCCACATTTCCACAAATCTTTATTGTTCTCTGGTATTGATTGTGTTGACCATTGTCGACATCATCCATGAATAGAATTTGATCGGTTGGCATTTGCCGAGGTTTTTACAGATTCCGCGATAGCCTTTCTGGATTTCCGTTTTTCCCAACCCTGTTCATAGCCAAACTGGGTACCTATCTTGTTTAACTTGCAGCAAATTTATACACCAACCTTTCAAAGCCGAGTTTTGCCATTGAATTCATCCTTTGCTCTTTTCGAAGAGACTCAGCAAAAGTTTTGTATTCCTTTTGTCATTTTTTCATTGCTTCACTTCCTTTTTATACATTTCCCTTATCAGTTGACCACATTTCACTTTTTTCACTTCAAAGGATTTATTCATATAGTACGTATAAATTCGTGGTTAATCAAAAGATTACTAAACATTTTGTTTGTGAAAATTCGTGGGATTCACTGAAGAGTTTTGTTCCAATTGGATTGGGGTTTTAGGATTTGGTTATTTGAAATTTGAAAATGAATTCTTTTTCAGTTTCTCAAAAGCGAGTCATCAAATATTTGATCCTTTTTTTTAGTTAATGAATTGAAAGGATGAGTTATAAAAATTTGGAACTTACAAGTGATTATCGACAAATTCCTTGGAACTATTATTGAAAAAAATCAAGCACAAAAGTTTTATGAAAGTTGTGATTGCTTTTTAGGTAATCTTTCGTATTCAAGTTACGTTTGGAATGAATTATTTGAATACATTCAAATAATTTGTTCAAAAGAAAACTTTTTCTTTAGTTTTTATTTAGTTTTAACAATTTAAAAATTTAACAGTCAAACGAAACAAAAATAACTAATAAGCGAACTCAATAGAAACATCCGAATCGATGAATTTAACGTTTTCTAGACCATCGCTCCTTCGGTGTTCTTTAAGGCGTCAATGTGATTGCCTTGAGTCAAGCTCTTCGATTTTCTTCTCTGTCCGAGCATTTTTCATCGCCTGTAATTAGATAAAATAAGATTAGAAATTGATACAGAAAAACAATTAAATAAATACAACCTCTACCCCAGAAAGAGTCGATCCGGACGGTTTGAAAGAGTGAATCAAGTCGTCATCTCCATTTGGTGCAATACTGATTCCACAGCTTTTGAAAGATTTCTGGATCATCTCTTCAAATGGCATGTGCCATGGGTTATTCAACACAGAATTCAACGCCTATTCCAAAGCTATCCATTGATTGAAACATCTTTGCCCATTTTTATTGCAGCCAACTTTGTTTTCATGAGATGAGTTATCAAATATTTAAATCAGATATCAAATATTCGGACGTCCGCATCCGACCACACTCATTCTGGTCGCATTCGGACGTAACATTCGGACGGATTCGGACGGACATATACCTTATTCATGACCTGAGATAAAGTGCGCTAGTGCGCTTAAGATTAATACACATCAATTCATACACATAACACGAAAAGGGTCGATAAAAAGCAACACCTTAAAAAGCAAAACAGCAACAACAAAGATTAGAGGTCCGTTTGGCGCGAAAAAATCACGAGCGCTGACTTATATACGTTTTCTTTTAAAGATATTCAACTGTTTACCGTATTTTCTCTAGTAGTAGTGCACCCTGAGCGTCGCCTAAATTCCTTGAAAACCCGAAAAGCGCTTATCAGAACCTATCGATGTGGGGTCGGAAAATGTAGCTGACGATGAGATCTTGTGGGGGATTCGAGTGTTGAGTTTCTGGGAAAACTTTGGAAACCGTAAAATAGGAACCAACTCGGCTCACCGGCTATTAGAGAAAATACGGTAACAAAACTAATTTATTGACCTTTATTGACCTTTATTGACCTTTTCTTCTTTCTAAAATCATTACATTTAAACCATAGAGTCGGAACTCGGAACTCAGAAATGATAAGGGGAAATGTATAAAAAAAAGAAGTGAAGCAATGAAAAAATCACAAAAGGACTACAAAACTTTTGCTGAGTCTCTTCGAAAAGAGCAAAGGATTCCATGATGACGTGTCTCAATGCTGAAATGGAATGAAGTATTTGACAATGAAGCAAGCAAAATTTGAGTACTTATCCAGTATCATTTTGTTCTATTCAATCTAAAATTGATTCTACGTGGATTGTTTTTCTAATATTTTTCACTCTTTCAAGTACTAGAAGCACTAGAAGCATAGAAAGTACTAGGAGCATAGAATAGACTAGGTTGGTTAGAAAATCCTCCATTCTAGACTCTTACTCTCCAGTAGAACAGCACTCCAATAGAGCAGAATTTCTCAACTCTCGAATATTGCAATCAAGATTGCAAACATTGAGCAAGCTAACTACTTTTCACTATCTTTGTTTTTTTTATGAGAAAACTATAAAAATTAGTTTTAAACTAGAGAAAAGGTAATTTTATATACCTTTATTGACCTTTATTGACCTTTATCTACCTTTATTGACCTTTTCTTCTTTCTAAAATCATTTCATTTAAACCATTGAGTCGAAACTCGGAACTTGGGGCTAAACTTTTCGCTTTTACGTCATTGCTGGTGCTGTTAGATCGATTGATTGTTGATTTATCTTTCAAAAATTGTCATCCAAACAACTCGACAATTAGACCGTTTCAACGCACTCCCAATCTCCGCCCATGCTGTCCACTTGTTAGTCATTTTCCATTCCGAAATCCACTTTCTCCAGATCGTTTCCAAGTCGTCTCCAGTTTTCTCGAAATTCTTGCAAAGTCTCATTTGTCATTCCGTCTGGACGATATCGTTAAATCGTCTAACGAATTCTCATCGAATTTCTCTTCAAAACCCTGTCTTCAAAACCCTCAAAAGTTTTCTAACAAATTCCCATCGAATTTTTCATCTGACGTGGTCATTAATTCCCGGTTTCACACTTTAAATTCTACAAAAAGAGTGAACAGATCCAAGAAATCGTCATTCAAATTGCGTCAATCGAATTCATGGTGAGTTTTTCCTGATGTTACTATGGTACGTTTAGTTTTCCATAGTTTGAAATTACAGTATGGATTTGGTAACGGACTACAGTATAATTACTTAAGCAATAAATGGGGCTGGCTGGCTGGCTTGGCAAGGATTTAATTGAGACAAATCCAAACTTGACCTTGGCTTGGCTTGGCTTGGCTTGCAAAGAAAGTCAAAGCCAAGCCAAAAATCCTTGGTCTAAAGGGGATTGATCTAAAGGGTTAGGAAAGGTAGAGCTAAAGAACGATATTTCTGAGAAGAGCTCTTTCAATTTGAACAGTGTTCATTGTTGCAAACAGTAATTGAATTGGATGAGTGATTTGAATGGGATAATATGATCATAAGTTTATTACTAACAAGACGCCCAAACAATAGATTGATTGAGTAGATCGAATAGATTGAGTAGTTTTCTAAAACGTGTCCCTTTCTCTTTAATGCTATCTACTAGCTTTAACAAGTCAAGGGATAAACGAAAAAGCGAAAAGCCAAAGTGAACGCTTGGAAAATCGGCTCTTCGTTCATTTCTTTAAAAATGAACCCACGCTTCGTTGACCGTTTTGTCGACTTTCGCAATCATCGCATCCAGTATTCTTGATTCGCTCTTTATTCGATTTTTCGCACGCTACATCTGAAAATATAATCTAAAACAATAAGGGATAGTTTTCGAGTAAATATATTTAAATATATTTTTGAAATCTTTCTAAAACTTGTCCCTTTCTCTTTCTATCGTAATCTTGTCTCCAATTTTTATCCATTCACTCAACAAGGGTTCACAAAAGATACCAAAAAGTGGATAGATTGGATAGAGAAATTGAAGACTACAGGAAAAAGAAAGGGACATGTTTTAGAAGATTAGAAGAAGATTACTGCTATGTTTAGCAAGATTCACGTGTCCTCTTTCAAAAGCTATCGTACTTGTCTCTAGTTTTATGCAAAAATCTCACCTTCTGGTGCTGGGCAACTTTCGATTTTCACGCAAACACCCTTTACGAGTGAATTTGTCGATTCAAGTCTCGCGAAACCGTCTTTACAAACACATTTCTCTTTGCCAATTTCCGCCGGGCGTACTGTGCATTTCTAAATGTGCAATTATTAGATCAATATAGTTTCAGTTTCGTCTGTTCACAGTGTCAAACCTACACTTGATTGTCCTGTTATCTTTTTCCTTGTCAAACAATCGTCACATTCCGTTTTCTTCTTTTCCTCATTCTCTTTGCATTGAGGATCTGTAAGCTATTGTCGACTTAGGCTTTACAAGATTCTCTACCGTAGTATCCGTGTCTACCGTAGTATCCGTGTCTTTGCCTATCTCCGCCGGGCGTATCTAAAACAATAAGGGATAGTTTTCAAGTAAATATATTTTTGAAATCTTTCTAAAGCGTGTCCCTTTCTCTTTTCACCGTGATCTTGTCTCCAATTTTTATTCAATCTATTCACTTTTATATTTATTTATTCAATCTTCAATCAATCTTTTATATTCTTTTATATTCTTTTATATTCTTTTATATCTATTTATTCAATATCTATTCACTTCTTTCCATATCTTTTGTGATATGGAACAGAAAGAACGGGATTTCTGAGAAGAGCTCTTTCAATTTGAACAGTGCTCATTGCTGCAAACAGTAATTGAATTGGATGAGTGATTAGACGCACAGAATTAGACGAAAACTCATTGGCTAAATTTTCTCTCAAATAATCCATTTTCTGTTCCCTTTCTCTGAAGAAAAAGAAGAAAAAGAGATGAATTAAATGAAAAATAGAGGCAAAGCTACGGTAGAAAGAGAAAGAGAAAAGAAAATGGATTATTTGAGAGAAGTGTTAGCCAATGCGTTGAATATCTTTAGCTTCATTGAAAAGAGGTTTAATCAGGCTTGAGGTAGATTATATAGAAACCATATAGAATCATAGGTAGATCATCTAGAAAATAATTTGAATCTTTTATCTACTCTCAAAAGTCCACAAAACTCAAAATACTCAAAATACAAAAGGAAATCAAATTTAAAAGATTCATGGATCTAGAAAGCATAAAGTTTTCTTGCTACTTTATGTACTTGAAACAATCTTTTGAATCACTTTCGTGCTTTTTTCCAAAAGAAAATGTTGTAGAGGAGCTTAAGACGCATCTTTTGATATATTTGAGTTCTGAGAAAATGACTTTCTATATAGGTTTTACTTTAATACTTACTTTCATACTGTCCTACTGTAGTGAAATCTTCTATAGACTATAGACTTTAGACTTCTATAGGCTATAGACTTCTAGACTTCTAGACTATAGACTATAGGCTTCTCTAGACTACAGACTTCCATAGACTATAGACTTCTAGACTTCTAGACTATAGACTTTAGACTTCTATAGACTATAGACTTCTCTAGACTACAGACTTCCACAGACTATAGACTTCTAGACTTCTAGACTATAGACTTCTATAGAAGATCTTCTATAGACTATAGACTTTAGACTTCTAGACTATAGACTTCTATAGAAAATCTTCTGTAGGCTATAGACTTTAGACTTCTATAGAAGATCTCCTATAGACTACAGACTTCCATAGACTATAGACTTCTAGACTTCTAGACTATAGACTTTAGACTTCTATAGACTATAGACTTCTATAGACTACAGACTTCCGTAGACTATAGACCTCTATAGACTAACTGTAGAATAGTTATAAGATTAACAATTTACATTAGCTCTAAACTAGTTTATTTTTTCACCTTTAATCTTTGAAAATTTGAAACCTCATATTTTTTTTTTAGGGGAGCTCAAAGTTGAAACTCGCGCTTCTCCTATTTGGTGAGTTTGTTAAAAAGTTTTCAATTGCTATACCTTTGATAAGAGCTATAAATAAATAGATAGAGTACGATTATAAATAAATCTACTATATATTGTTCTACTTATAGCCTTTTGAGCTACAAAAGTAACAAAATCATTTTCAGGAATCAGTCATATGTTCACTGCAGTTGGTAAGTCTTTCAAAAAAAGGCTAAAAATTTTATTTAAATAAATCCTTGAAAACGCTTGGTTAATGTTTCTGTTTTAAAAATGCCTTTTCTTATTTTATAATCGAATTCTTTAACAGCCCCGGAATGCTTGGATTTGAATGAGATAAAGAAGCCAAGTGATGGATGTGATGATTGTGAGACAATCACAAATCATGAGCACACATATCCAAACGTGAGTTCGCCTAGATTATTCTACACTTCTTATGGTGAGGAGGGCATAGAATTGGAGACTAGCAAGTATCTATCTTTATATTTTTTTTGTTTAGGAAAAGCCATGCACACTGCAACCGATAAAGGAACCGATATGCACATGTAAGCCGGGTTTCGCGAGAAAGAAAGATCCGATTAATCTGCTTGACAATGGAACTTGTGTGCCTGTTGAGGAATGTCCCAAGATCGAGACAACTGATCCAGTGTAAGCTGCTTACGATTACGATTAGTCTACTAGTCTACTAGACTACTAGACTACTAGACTACTAGACTACTAGACTACTAGACTACTAGACTACTAGACTACTAGACTACTAGACTACTAGACTACTAAACTACTAGTCTACTAGACTACTAGACTACTAGTCTACTAGACTACTAGACTACTAGTCTACTAGACTACTAGACTACTAGACTACTAGACTACTAGACTACTAGACTACTAGTCTACTAGACTACTAGACTACTAGACTACTAGACTACTAGACTACTAGACTACTAGACTACTGACTACTAGACTACTAGTCTACTAGACTGCTTACGATTAGGATTAGTCTACTAGACTGTTGAGGAGTGTTCCAAGATCGAGACAACTGATCCAGTGTAAGCTGCTTACGATTACGATTAGTCTACTAGACCGCCGGAAACGGTTAAACAAAACGGTAGTTTTGTTTTCTGGTAGTTAAAAGATTTCTTTCGGTAGCTTTTCCACCAAAAGTTCTCCGGTAACGCACTACGGGTACGTTCCTGCGCAAAAATGTGATAAAGACAGATCAAAAATCTGAATCTGAAATGTTGTATGCACTCCAGCTAAGAAATTTGCAATGGTACAGCACAGTACTGCAATGGTACAGTACTGGACAATGAAATATGATATTTGAAAAAAGATCGTGACTTTCGCGCGCCTGTAATTCCCTTGTCTTTGAGTTTAAACTATTAGTGTTATACATTTTCTGAAAGCTCTTTTCAAGGGCTACACGATGGTAATATTAATATTTAGAAATACGGTAAAGACAAGGGAGCTACAGAGGCGCGAAAATGACGATCTTTTTTCAAATATGATATTTCATTGTCCAGTAGTGTATGTGGCCAAGATCTTAGCGCACAGACCATCAAATCTTCCGCCGCTTATTCCTCTTGTTTGAGTGCTCAGAATTTTTTCATTTTTTGCGAATTTCTTAGCTGGAATGCATACAACATTTCACAGGATTCAGATTTTTGATTTGTCGTTTTTTGATTTTTTTGACTTCTGAACTGCAGTGTAACCCTCTTATGGTGGGAAAATTCCAACCCGAACCTAATTCCACCTTTATTTTATCAGCCGCTTCTTAACCGATTGCTCTGAAATTTTCTCTACAAGCTGATTTCTATCTTTAGACAAAATTTCAGACTAATCGGCCACGAAAAACGACGGTGGAATTAGTTTCCGCTTTAAAGGAGCTTTAAAGGAACTAAATAGGAGCTATAAAGGAGCTTTAAAGGAGCTTTAAAGGAGCTATAAAGGAGCTTTAAAGGCGCTTTAAAGGAGCTTTAAAGGAGCTTTAAAGGAGCTTTAAAGGAGCTTTAAAGGAACTAAATAGGAGCTATAAGTTTTCCCCATTACTATGTGTGTGAGAGCTGCTCGCGAGGCTAGACTTTGACTCTGAATGTACTAAAATATTGTTTGAGTCAAGGCTAACAATAAGATCAATCCGAAATTTAAAGAAATAGGATAGTTCCTCGGTGTCCTCCAGGACAAATCTCTGGACTCTTTGATGGATGCAATACTTGTGCGCAAGCTCTGTCAAAGGTATCGTTTTGTTAGCGTATTCGTTAATTTTTGATTTGAAGCCTTCATGTATCAAGAAAAAAACAATGGGTTGTCATTGCTCAAAGCCGGGAACCAAATCAAACTCGAAAAAGGAATGCGTTCCGGAAGCTGATTGCAAAAACGATCAGCCAAGCGGCAGCGAAGGTTTCTCGAGAACTGAGTTGATTAAAATGCGTTTTCTAAAACGTGTCCTCTTTCTTCTTATCGTAATCCTGTCTCCACTTTTTATATTTTTCGATATCTTGATATCTTTTGTGAATTCTCACAGAATCAGACAAAAGTGGATAGATTGGAGACAAGATTACGGTAGTTCTTAGAAGTTGCCACGAATACTACGGTAGAAAATCTTGTAAAGCGTTTTTTGTTAGCTGTGCAACTCATACTGTAATTAAAATCAGAACTAAAGCAAGACTACGGTAGTGAACAAAGTTGACAAAGGCATAAGTAGAGGTTTTTTAACTCCTGTTCTACGTCTAAGCTTTTATCTACATTACATTTTACAGAGAATAGCTATTGAGGTGTAGTTTGAACTAAACGTTACTTACTAAAAATTTAAAACAGAGTTAAGGAACCAAATTGAGAGAGATAAGGAACAAAATTTGGAGAGATAGGGAACCAAATTCAGAGAGATAAGGAACCAAATTGAGAGGGATGAGGAACGAAGTTTAGAGAGATAAGGAACCAGATCTAGAGATGAGGAATCAAACTTAGAGACATAAGGAACCAAATTTAGAGAGATAAGGAACCAGATCTAGAGATGAGGAACCAAACTTAGAGATATAAGGAACCAAATTTAGAGAGATAAGGAACCAGATCTAGAGATGAGGAATCAAACTTAGAGACATAAGGAACCAAATTTAGAGAGATCTAAATATCAGATAAAAGTGGATAGATTAGAGACAAGACTACGGTAGTTCTCAGAAGTTGCCATGAATACTACGGTAGACAATCTTGTAAAGCGTTTTTTGTTAGCTGTACAGCTCAAAATTTACATACCGTAACCAGAGTCAGAACTAAAGCAAGACTACGGTAGCCAACAAAGTTGACAAAGACAGAAGTAGAGGGTTTTTAACGCCTGTTCTACGTCTAAGCTTTTATCTACATTAAACTTTGCAGAGAATAGCTATTGAGGCGCTTTACGTAGTTTGAACTAAACGTTACTTACTAACGTACTTACTAACGTACTTGCTAACGTACTTACTAACGTACTTACTAACATACTTACTAACGTACTTACTAACGTTTAGTACTTACTAAAAATTGAAAACCATAGTCTAAATATCAGACAAAAGTGGGTAGCTTGAAGACAAGACTACGGTAGTTCTCAAAACGAATACTACGGTAGACACGGATACTACGGTAGACAATCTTGTAAAGCCTAAGCCTACAGTAGCTTACAGATCCTCAATGCAAAGAGAATGAGGAAAAGAAGAAAGCGGAATGTGACGATTGTTTGACAAGGAAAAAGATAACTGGACAATCAAGTGTACGTTTGACAATGTGAACAGCTGAAAGCGAAGCTGAAACTATATTGATCTAATAATTGCACCTTTAGAAATGCACAGTACGCCCGGTGGAGATTGGCAAAGAGACATGTGTTTGTAAAGACGGTTTCGCGAGACTTGAATCGACGAATTCACTCGTAAAGGGTGTTTGCGTGAAAATCGAAAGTTGCCCAGCACCAAAAGGTGAGATTTTTGCATAAAACTAGAGACAAGTACGATAGCTTTTGAAAGAGGACACGTGAATCTTGCTAAACATAGCAGAAATCTTCTTCTGATCTTCTAAAGCGTGTCCCTTTCTTTTTCCTACAGTAGTATTCAATTCAAAGTAACCTGGATAATATTTCCCCTTCAAAAACCGTAGTTTACAGAGAGCAAATGCACACGAGAAGAGGAAATGAAGCCGGCCACTTGTGACGATTGTGCAACAATAGTTAAGATCGATGGAAACTCGAGTGTACGTTTGATACTGCTGATTGCTGATGGGAAAGGATGCTGATATCAAATGTCCGATAACCGAAAATTAAAGTACAATAGCAGAAGCAGCAAGTACAGTAACTTTACAAAGTACAGCAACAGCAAGAAAAGCAGCAAGACAAGCAGCAAGACAAGCAGCAAGTACAGTAACTTTACAAAGAACAGCAGCAGCAAGAAAAGCAGCAGCAAGGCAAGCAGCAAGTACAGTAACTTTACAAAGAACACTTCCGAAAGGTAATATTCTTCACAATCTTCATTTTCTGCTAAATCAGGTAGACTCTTTTCTGGTCTTTGAACTAAAAAAACAAAAAAAAAACAAGAATTCTCTCTGGTTTCAATCTTTAAAGAATGCTCAGGAAGATATTGAGTTTGGAGAAGGTTTTGAATTGTTCTTGTGCTAGTTACTCATTTTCGCAAATGCTTATCTTGAAAGAAAATCTTCAGATTAGATTAATACTAGATTAAGCTAACGAATAGATTTTTAGACATGTAAGGTACCCATTGGTGCTAAAGAACGATGCACTTGCAAGACTGGTTTCGCGAGAATTGGCGATCCGAATAGTGCATCGAAATTGGATAGAGGTTTTTGCATCGGAATCGATAGTTGTCCAAAATCAGGTATGGGGGTTTTTAAGTTTAAAAAGCCGTAGAGCTCTACTCTATAGAGTTTCATTATTTGATAATTACAGTACAATTTAAAGAGCTTACAGTACAATTTGCAGAGCCTAAATGCTTGGAAAATGAGGAAATGAAGAAGGCGGAATGTGATGATTGTGCAACGAGAAAAGGGGAACTGAGTGTACGTTTGAGGAAGTTAAAAACTGTGAACTAAACTTGTTCATTTGTCGTGAACAGTCGTGTCAAATGAACAGGTTTACTATGAACACATAAAGCTGAAATCACATTGATTTAAAGAGCACTTTTTTAGACATGCATAACACCTCTTCGCGCCAAAGATCGATGCACTTGTAAGGCCGATTTCGCGAGAATTGGCGATCCAAACAGTCTAACGGATAGGGGCACTTGCGTGCAAATCAACAAATGCTCAGCGGAACCAAGTATGATTTTTGTGAATTATCTGCAAAATTCAGTGTTTTCAAAAGTATCACCAAGCTACGTCAAGCTGATTTTGGCTTGGCTTAGCTTGGTTTAGCTTGGCTTGGCTTAGCTTGGTTTAGCTTGGCTTAGCTTAGCTTGGCTTGGCTTAGCTTGGTTTAGCTTGGCTTAGCTTAGCTTGGCTTGGCTTAGCTTGGTTTAGCTTGGCTTAGCTTAGCTTGGCTTGGCTTAGCTTGGTTTAGCTTGGCTTAGCTTAGCTTGGCTTGGCTTAGCTTGGTTTAGCTTGGCTTAGCTTAGCTTGGCTTGGCTTAGCTTGGTTTAGCTTGGCTTAGCTTAGCTTGGCTTGGCTTAGCTTGGTTTAGCTTGGCCTCTTGTCTCATGGCTTTTTGGAATGTAAATCCATCTTCTTTATTTCAAAACACCAGCTCCTTTATAGAAGAGCTGAAATGCGAAGAAAACGAGGAAATAAAGAAAGCGACAAATGAATGTGATGATTGCTTGACGCGGAAAAAAATCGACAAGCAGCCAAGCGTACGTTTGACACTGTGAACAGATGAAGTTGAAAAGTGTATTGATCTAATAATTGCACCTTTAGAAATGCACAGTACGCCCGGCGGAGATAGGCAAAGAGAAATGTGTTTGTAAAGACGGTTTCGCGAGACTTGAATCGACGAATTCACTCGTAAAGGGTGTTTGCGTGAAAATCGAAAGTTGCCCCGCGAAGAGACAAGATTACGGTAGAAAGAGAAAGGGACAAGTTTTAGAAAGATTTCAAAAATATATTTACTCGAAAACTATCCCTTATTGTTTTAGATTATATTTTCAGATGTAGCTGAGACGTGCGAAAAATCGAATGAGGAGCGAATCAAGAATACTGGATGCGATGATTGCGAAAGTCGACAAAACGGTCAACCAAGCGTGGGTTCATTTATACAAAAATGAACGAAGAGCCGATTTTCCAAGCTTTGCCTTTGGCTTTTCGCTTTTTCGTTTATCCCTTGACTTGTTAAAGCTAGTAGATAGCATTAAAATCAATCTTTTTGTACAAACTCAACTTCAGAAAGACTGCGCGCGTCCAGAGGCGATAAGTTGTGTTTGCAAGCCAGATTTCGCCCGACTCAATGGTTTATGCGTCAAGAAGGAATTGTGTCCAACAGCAGTAGATCCAATAAGTGAGTGGAAAAGATTGGATATTTGATTTGGAACAATGTTTCAAAACTTTGAGATATTATTGCTAGTTTATATTTTAAGAAATCTCATCTTGAGTTCTTGAGATCCTGAGATCGACAGAATAACTTTCTTTCCGTGAAGATCTGGATGTGGATCTGGATAGAATTTCTTGATCAAGCTATGTCAAGCTAATTTTGGCATGACTTAGCTTAGCTTGGCTTGGCTTAGCTTGGCTTAGCCTAGGCTTAGCTTGGCTTAGCTTGGCTTAGCCTAGGCTTAGCTTGGCTTAGCTTGGCTTAGCTTGGCTTAGCTTGGCTTAGCAGCCATAGCATAGCTTAGCAGTCATAGCTTAGCCTGGCTTAGCCTGGCTTAGCCTGGCTTAGCTTGGCTTAGCCTGGCTTAGCATGGCTAAGCATGGCTTAGCTTAGCTTCAATTTAGATCCAATAAGTGAGTGGAAAAGATTGGATATTTTGGAACAATGTTTCAAAACTCTGAGTTGTTGTTGTTAGTTGGTTTTGATTAGTTAAACTTTTAAGAAATCTGAGAGCTTGAGATCGACAGCATAACTTTCTTTCCGTGAAGATCTGGATGTGGATCTGGATGTGAATCTGGATATCATTTCTTGATCTGAGTTCACTTGAGTTCATAGTTACAATGCTTTAGTATCTTGATATGATTTTATATGATATCTAACATTTTTCAGAATGTCCACCATTTGAAGTGCACGGTCTCCGGGACTATTGTGATCACTGCTATTGGAAGCAAGCGAACGAGGTGAGTCATTTTGTCAGTCAAAGCTCCCAAGTGTGCCACTCTTAACTCACAGCTCTACTTTAAAACTGACCTAAAAGAAATCTAATCATCGCTTTTCTAGAAATGCCCATACAAGAAAGCCACCGAGAAGGGTTGTGCCTGTCCAACAGCGACTCATGGTCGTCGTCGTAGTAGTGAATGTGTTCCATTCGACAAATGCCCGCCACTCATCCGTGGATGGCTGCCCGAGCCCGCTTACTATGGAATGGATGATCCCGATCACGTTTAAATCATTTTTGAGATAAAATTTGAGAATAATGTGGCTGATAAAAGCACACAAATCACATGAATGAATCACAGATCGCTCAAAGGCTTGCCAACTCAATTCACAGTTATTAGAAGCTCAGAATTTTTATGGAACTTGATCCTCCGCCAAGTGGTAAACTTAGTTTGGTGCTTGATAGTTTATATGAGTTTGCACAATCTACAAATATCAAAATAACATCTAAAAAGCAAAAGAAAAATCCCAGAATTAGAAGTGAACCGAGCCGAGTGAGCCGAGCTGAGCCGAGCCGAGTGAGCCGAGCGAGCGAGTGTTTTGGCTTGCCTATATTTTCCTACAAATTCTCAACACCCGTTAAACCATTATGGCACTCAAACAATAGCCAAACCGGCAGAATGATTTGAGCGTTTTCCCTCTCGATTCACAGGATTGGTTAACCCCAAGTAACTTCAATTTTGTATTATTTCGAAGCATAAGGCTCTTTGCTAAATGGATACATTTATTCAACATGAATGTGACACAAATAATGCACAACTCAAGACAAATCCCTACTGCTCTAATACCTAAAGATGTTGCAGAGAAAAACTTACTATATGGAAATGAGTCAAATTTTCTAGCTGCTGGGATCGAACTCGTGATCTCCCGACGTTACCTCGTGACTAGGATACAAGATTCCTAACTACTCTCCCAACTACTCTCCCAAGTACTCTCCTAACTACTCTCCTAACTACCTCCCAACTACTCTCCTAACTACTCTCCCAACTACTCTCCTAACTACTCTCCCAACTACTCTCCTAACTACTCTCCTAACTACTCAGCCATGGCGCAATCGGTAAGCAATCGGTAAGCAAAACCAATCTTTTCACAAACAAATCCACTTGAAAATCTGTGTTTCAACTTTTACAATGAGAAAATTGTTAGTCAATCTTGGCCAGATTTAAAGCCGCAATTTCGGCAATTGATTTGACTGCTCTGTGATTATTTCTTGAGGTATCTATTTTATCTTTTGGGTGTGTTTTGAGTGGTCTCCCGGGTAATTATTGTGATTTTGTTTTGTCGCTATTCAACTGAATAAAGCATATATATATATATATATAATCATGATTTCAACTTGATAACTTTTTAAAGTCATCAAGTTCTTTGAGCTCTTGCAGCTTTTTGTAAGCATCAAGATTGACCGCATTTCGATATCGAAACCGAATTCAGCATCAAAACCGAATTCGGCATCAAAACCGAATTCATTCGACGTCGGCAATGGGAAAACATTCAAATTCTTATTTTTACTTGAAATTCGTACAAGTTCTTGTACGTACAAGCTGTTGTTTTCTCAAAGTTTTCATGTTTTTGAAAATTTATCGATATCAAAAAGAAAAAGCCAGCGAAAGCAAAAATTTACTATGCAAAACGGTCGAAATCTCAAGTCGGAAATGGGCAAAACATTCAAATTCTTATTTTTACTTCAAAGATTATTCTTTTTTTTTTTCTTCACAATCACAAACTCGGGGGATCTTTCTTTCGTGCACACATTCAGCAGAAAAAACTAGAGTCTTTTATAACACAAAAGAAGTTGAAAAGCCAAAGAAAATCAAAGAAAATCAAAGAAAATCGTAAAAAATCATAAAAAATCGTCAAAAAAGCGCAAAAAATCGAAAACCTAACCGATTTTCTAGAGAAAGAGTTGAAAGAAGTTGAAAAATAAAACAAATAAAACGAATAGAACGAATAAAACGAAATTAAAACGAAATTAAAACGAAATTAAAACGAATAAAATGAAAATAAAACGCTTTTTCAACGAAAAAACCACCTAATCGGATCGTTTAAAATGGGAAAATTGCCTAGATTTTAGATGTAAATCAAGAAAAATCAAGAAAAAGCAAGAAAAATCAAGAAAAACATTGTAATTCTAATATCCTAAGCGGGAATTTTGTTGCTATTTTGTCGGAAACATGAAAAATCACAGGTGATAGGAAAGAAAAATCGGGGAGAAGTCAAAGGAGAAGTTTCAAAATTTCCAGAAAAAAGTGGGCTTATTTGAGACTAGTTGGGGGAGGGGAAAGACTTCTGTTCTTCTGTAGGAAAAAGGAAAGTTTCAAAATTTTGAAAGCGATTGGTTAGGATTTGGATTATGGCCTCATAAAGCATTTCAGGGCTGATAAAAGCCCATTTCAGGCCTGATAAAAGCCCATTTCAGGCCTGATAAAAGCTCATTTCAGGCCTCAGCTGTTAAACTGAATATCGTTAAAGTCATTTGAAGTACTGAAAAAGCTATCGGTTTTTTTCCGTTTTCTAAAAGGCACTGAAAACTACCGCAATCCCACAGTTAGTTTTCTTTCGATTAACCTAATTTTTGGTTTCATTTGACTTAGCTTTTATCAGGCCTTGTGATGGCCTTGTGATGGCCTTGTGATGGCTTTGTGATGGCTTTGTGATTCTTTCATCAACTGATACCAAAGCTGATTAAAAATAACTTGTCTAAGTCTAATGCCTTTTAGGAAAACTAGAAAATTAGCTAGCTTCAGCTTTTTGGCTGAATATTTTTTAACCTTAGCCATAAAACAATCGTTCTTTAACAATCGTAATAATAACAATCGTTTAAAATCGCTTTTCGCTTTTCAAAATCACTTTTTCTTTTCCTTCTCTTCAAATATTATTTTGTACTTTCTCGATTACCGTATTCCAACGAAATATTCTATGAGATAGGGATTGAAATTGATTGAAATGGATTGAAATTGATTGGAATTGATTGAAATTGATTGGAATTGATTGAAATTGAAATGAAATTGATTGAAATTGATTGAAATTGATTGAAATTCATTTCAATTTCAATCAATTAAAAAGGATTACTGTAGGGTAAAGCAATCAAAAGAAAGGGTGCTTTTGTTTGTGTGAAAGAAGAGGTAAAAGAAATGAGAAGATAAGGAAATAAGTTTCTAAAATGATTTGAATATTTTAAAACTCTTAAGTTTCGAATTGAATTGAATTCGAATCGAATTCTTTGCATCATTGTGTATCCGTTTCGGTCGGCGTAGCCGAATCGTAAACGGTGTCGTTGTCGCGAACCTGAAAAGGGAAAAGTTTGTTTGAAGATTTGAAAAACGGGTTTTAAATCATTTTCAGTATTGATTTGATCAAATAGTTTACAGATAAATAAGGAGATAATAAATAAATAACATAACATAAACTCAACGCTGAACTATGCTGGTTTTATGGACCGAAACTCGTTTGTGGACTCGAAAACTTTTGAGACCAAGTGCCGAAAAGATTAATTTGAAGATACCGTATTTTCTCTAATAGTAGTGCACCCCGACGAGCCGAGTTAGTGACTATTTTACGGTTTCCAAGCTTCTGCAGAAGCTCAACACTCAAATCCCCGACTAGATCTCATTGTCAGCTACATTTTCCGACCCCACATCGATAGGTTCTGATAAGTGGTTTTCGAGATTTCGAGCAATTTAGGCAAAGCTTAGGGTGCACTACTATTAGAGGAAATACGGTAATCGACTCGAACTTTATTTTAACACATTGACGACAAAGTCACTTTTGGCTTGGCTGGCGTTTCGGACTATCTATGTTAGCGACTTGAATTGTGCTTTTTAAAAAATCCAAAAGCACGTTGCCCAACTACATGTAATTCTCTATTCAAAAAAATCAGTGCAGACGGTCCTCTGGGAGCTGAGGAGTAACGCGCACAGACAGACAGACAGGCGTCTTATAACTTTTATATATACCGTATTTTCTCTAATAGTAGTGGACCCCGACGAGCCGAGTTAGTGACTATTTTACGGTTTCCAAGCTGCTGCAGAAGCTCAACACTCAAATCCCCCACAAGATCTCATTGTCAGCTACATTTTCCGACCCCACATCGATAGGTTCTGATAAGCGGTTCTCGAGATTTTTAAGGAATTTAGGCGACGCTCTGGGTGCACTACTATTAGAGAAAATACGATAATTACAATTTCAATCAATATAATCTCAAAGCAAATATCTATTTTTCGTTTAGTTTACAAATTTGATTGCACATTGTGTGGTGTTGCTCAAAAAAAGATTGCAAATTTGTATGCAAACTTTACCTCGGTCTGAAGTCGACACGTTCTCTCAAGGGTGCCGGCTCCGCAATCGCAAAAGAAACTGAAATTTGGAATTTCAAAAAAAAGAAAAGTAAACATTAGTTAAACAATGTTTCAATTTGAGCAAATGAAATTGAAACGCAGGCTACAGAATCAACCAAATCAATCAAATTACGTTTTTTCTTTACTTCAGAGACATTTTATTGGTAAAACTTCTTTAAAATTGCTTTTCAAATTCTTTAAAGCGAAGAAAATCGACAGTTTTCACTATTACAAATGAAAAATTTCACTTTTGAACGCTCAAATTGAAATATTGTTTTAATTTTCGAATTTTTCACATATCTATTAAGTTTTCTCTTTCGAATTTGAAAAATGAAAATTATTGATTTTAAAAGTCACTATCCCCACCGGGGAAGATAATTTGATAAATTTTCTATTGTAAAGCTCCGGACAAATGAAGAAAAAATGATTAACCTGATAAAATGACTAACCTGAAAAAATGACTAACTAAAAAATGAAAAAGTGACAAAACGAGCGATTTTCTCCTTAATACGCCTTTATTTGAAACAAGCTTTTTTTTCCTTTCCTTTACTTTAAGAGAATTCCTTTATTTTTATACTTTTAAGCATACTTTTACCTTTAATACTTTTGTTTAAAGTTTAAGAATTAATTACAAACGAATTTCAAGCTTATTTAAAGTCTATTTCTCGAAAAGATCTTTTTCACTCACCGATCATGTCTGACAAATTCGACTAAATGCCCCTGGTGACAGCTGTGGATACAATTGATGCAAATTGCGTTTCGCTCGGTTGTGTTGCACGAGATGCATCTAAAAAAACGATTGGTAAGCTTGAATTAAAGCCAATAGTTGAATTCAGATTCGAACATTTCATTGTTTTAGTTAGAAAATACTCCGCTAAACTTTAAAGCCACTCTAGCTTTACTTTAGCTTTAGAAAATACTCTGCTAAACTTTAAAGCTACTCTAGTAAAGCTCTAGCTTTACTTTAGCTCTTCAGAATTAATTTTGAAAGTTGCAAAGCATGACAGTGATGTGTTCAATAATGCATTTTTAGGCTTTTAACAAAAATAACTATTAGAAATACAAGATTTCTACAATATTTCTACAATATTTCCCTTTTTCTAGATATTTTCAATGCTTACCGATAAAAATCGTGCATTGGAAATGAGGTGCAGCTGGAGATTTTGAAGAGACATTGACCACGGGAAACTGCTTTCTCGACAGCGTTCTGGAATTTTTTTTTGGTTTCAAATCATTAAACAATATGTATTCTAATTACATTCTTCTTTTGAAGAATAAAGGGATAATAGAGGTAGTAGGAGTAACGGCCGCAGTGGCCATAAACTTTTATAGACTGTTTTATAGAGTGTGTTTAGACTTTTATCTCTTTCTTATGTATCCTTTTTTTGGATCACATTATTGATTTCAATTGGTTTATTATAAATTACCTGATTTTCGTAGACTTTATTATCGCGGAGAATCGGGCGCACATCGGTCGCCAGACAGAGACCGCCGAACTAAAGTGATTAGGTCAAAAAGATAAACAAATAATCCTCTTTTAAAAAACCAAATCTTCTGAATACTTCAAATCAAACCTTGTTGTGGAAAAGTTGATTCCCTTCGAGAGTTGCTGTGGCTCCGTTGGTGATCTCAACGCCAGCGGCTCGACCCTGGAATGGGGAAAGTTTTTAATGACCCCCAATCTCTCAAAAAAGCAGTACAGTCATTCTTAAATTCTGCTTTGTGCTTAAAAAAAGAAAACGCAGCCTTTCTGATGCACTAAATCTTTCATTTAATCTTTCATTTAGATCAAGTGCACCAGAAAGAATGTGTTTACTTTTTGTTGAGCACAAGGTACAGCACAATGCCCTGATCTAGTAGTCAAGCACAATGCTCGCTAGTAGTCAAGCACAATGCCCTGAACTAGTAGTCAAGCACAATGCTCTCTAGTAGTCAAGCACAATGCTCTGATCTAGTAGTCAAGCACAATGCTCTGACCTAATAGTCAAGCACAATGCTCTGATCTAATAGTCAAGCACAATGCTCTCTAGTACTCAAGCACAATGCCCTGATCTAGTAGTCAAGCACAATACTCTGATCTAATAGTCAAGCACAATAAAAGTTGTTTTCAAAGTCAAAGCTCAAAGATTTGTGCGAGCTTTTACTTTTGTGTCTTCTACAAGACAAAGACACGTGTCAGTGTAAACTCAATTAGACAAGTTGTGTTTCAACTTTATCAACGTTTCTTTCTTTAGTTAATCTTTAGTTTTAATCGCTAAACAAAAACCTTTCTAACTTTCAGCTTTTACTTTTTTTTTCGAATTTCTTAAAAATCTACCTCGAATACTCGATTCCTTCTTAAAGTTGGATTGCTTTCCGTCGAGATGAGCACACCGGCTTGCGCGTTTCGATAGATATCATTATCCTCCAAAAGTCCTCGACCCTGGAAAATTTTTTTAATAACAAATTTACTTCTAAAATAAATAAGAAAAAGTTAAGCTATATCTAGGGTTAAAGTTTTGACGATATTTGTTAAATTTGTTACGGACATTTTACCTACTTTATCTCATCTTTTGACACTTTTTGTGTCCAAATTTCAATTCTACTCTCATAAAGTTTCAAAAAAGTTTTACAAAACTTCAAATATTCTTTGCAAAGACATCTTATTATACAGTGATGAAAGGAAAAAAAAATCTTTCTTTATATAGAGCGCTGTTTTATATATAGCTTAGCGTCGGATGGCACCAAAATTCCATTCTGCTATATAGAGCCGTTACAGAAAGTCTGTGTTAAAATTTCAATCAATGAACTGATTTGCTTCAGATTGAAACACAACTTTTTAAAAGTCAAGCTACAGTATACAGCTATATACAGAGTGCGCCTGTAGCTGTGCCCCGTAGCTGTGCCCCGTAGCTGTGCCCCGTAGCTGTGCCCCGTAGCTGTGCCCCGTAGCTGTGCCCCGTAGCTGTGCCCCGTAGCTGTGCCCCGTAGCTGTGCCCCGTAGCTGTGCCCCGTAGCTGTGCCCCGTAGCTGTGCCCCGTAGCTGTGCCCCGTAACTGTGCCCCGTAACTGTGCCCCGTAACTGTGCCCCGTAACTGTGCCCCGTAACTGTGCCCCGTAACTGTGCCCCGTAACTGTGCCCCGTAACTGTGCCCCGTAACTGTGCCCCGTAACTGTGCGACCAAAGCACCCCTGAGCGGACCCTCTTCTCAATCACTTGTCTTAAATAGCGTTGCACTTATAAATTAACCAGAAACGTTTTCTAAATTAGTTTTTTGCGAGGAATTCGAATTTCTTACTTTTAAAATCGAATCTTTTATCTAAAATTACCAAGAATGCAGAAAATACAAGTACGGGAACTTTTGGCGCACCCTGTAGAGCCGTTACAGAAAGTCTGTGTTAAAATTTCAATCAATGAACTAATTTCCTTCAGATTGAAACACAACTTTTTTTGAAATTCAAGCAATTTCCCAGAAACGCACTTTGTTGAAAATGCAGACACCACCGTCGCGACCATCGTAGATTTTATTTCGTCGTAAAATCGGATGCGAATCGGTCTTGATCCAGACGCCTGAAAGTTAAAGGTTCATTGTTGAGTAAAAAAAATGGGATTGCCAAATCTTCGCTGTTTTTTTTGGAGTATGATAGTCGAACGTAAACTTAAAGTGTGTTTGGCTATCGGCCATCGTTTGGCCATGTTTGGCCATGTTTGGCCATTTCACTTACCGGCCATCGCGTTATCGAAAATCTCATTATCTTCTAGGACTCCTAAACCGCCGTTGTACACGAGCACACCGCCGTTTTGTCCTCCCCAAATCTTGTTTCGTGTGATTTTTGGATTGGAACCCGTTCTGGAATGAAAATTTAGAACATTTGCAAAGAAATTTATTGCACTTATTGCATTTCTTTTGTTGCAATGCTTTATTGAACGTTGATTTTTAATTTGAAAGGTAAAATCTCAATTATGAAGTTTAAAAAAGCTATAGTTTCAAGAGAAATGTGAGTTTTCAATCAGCCCTTCATTTCATTGCATTTCTTTTGTTGCTTTTTTCTTAATTTTTTGAATTACTCACCGAATTTGCACTCCCGAATACGAGTGATTGAAGATATCGTTCTCTTCAAGGAGTCCATGCCCGTTGTCGTAGAAATAAACGCCAACCTAGAATTTTGCTTAGTTCTTAGCTTAGTTCTTAGCTTAGTTCTTCCCTTGGTTCTTCCCTTGGTTCTTCCCTTGGTTCTTCCCTTAGTTCTTAGCTTAGTTCTTAGCTTAGTTCTTCCCTTGGTTCTTCCCTTAGTTCTTCCCTTAGTTCTTAGCTTAGTTCTTAGCTTAGTTCTTAGCTTAGTTCTTAGCTTAGTTCTTCCCTTAGTTCTTCCCTTGGTTCTTCCCTTGGTTCTTCCCTTAGTTCTTAGCTTAGTTCTTCCCTTATTTCTTCCCTTATTTCTTCCCTTAGTTCTTCCCTTAGTTCTTCCCTTAGTTCTTCCCTTAGTTCTTCCCTTATTTCTTCCCTTAGTTCTTCCCTTAGTTCTTCCCTTAGTTCTTCCCTTAGTTCTTCCCTTAGTTCTTCCCTTAGTTCTTCCCTTAGTTCTTCCCTTAGTTCAAAATTTTTCAATAAAAACAGACATTTTAAAACTTCAAAGTCATTGATGAGCAATTTATTGGTTTTGATTTCAAAAAAGTCACCAAGCTTTTTGAAACTAACCCTTTTCAAATCAAAGCTTTACCCTGCTTTTAGCTTTTATTTTGATGGGTTTTTTGTTTGTTAAATGCTTTTGTTTCAAGTTAAATGCTTCTTTTTACATCTTTTTACATCTTTTTACATCTTTTTACATCTTTTTACATCTTTCTACATCATTTTACATCTTTCTACATCATTTTACATCTTTCTACATCTTTCTACATCTTTTTACATCTTTCTACATCTTTCTACATCTTTCTACACCTTTTTACATCTTTCTACATCTTTCTACATCTTTCTACATCTTTCTACATCTTTTTACATCTTTTTACTGCTAAATCCCCTCCTTTAACCAACCTGTTTTCCCGAGTGTATCCGATTTTTGCGTAAAACCGGACTGCTTCCCGTTGTCACCCAGATGCCGGCCAGGGTGTTCCCGTAAACCTCATTATCCTCGATGACACCCTTGCCCTTTTCATGCTAAAATTCAAACTACATAACGGGATTATGAGGCTACAAGTGATCAGCTTTGTGATTATTCAGAGATGACTATCAACGATTAGTCAACAAGGATCAACTTTCATCGTAGAAAACTTGAAACATCATCTTTTTTCGGGCAGCTTTTTTCTTTTTAATGCTTCAACTACATAATGAAACTTGTTCAAAAAACGTGCGTTTATTTCCTTTTTTTAAATTTTCTATCTAAATCCATATAAACTTCGATTTCAGATAAAAAGACAATGAATCTGATAACGAAATTGCAGAAATGACAGCAATCAGCAATATTTCAGTGATCTGATATCGCAAATTGACCAAATATTGACCAATACAAAACGTTAAACGCAATTTGAAGACCAAATTTGATGCGGAAACAATAGAAACTTAATTAAGTTAAACTCCAGAGCTCCAGAGAGCAACTTTGCAAATCAATTATGGCGTATAACTGACGTATAACTGGCGTATAACTGGCGTATGACTGGCGTATGACTGGCGTATAACTGGCGTATGACTGGCGTATAACTGGCGTATGACTGGCGTATGACTAGTCCACTTTCTAACTTGAACTTGTTTCTAATGTTTTTGAAAACTTTTCCCCAAACAACTCACCACATAAATCCCCCCGTGAAGACCATCATGAATTTTGTTGAGACGAACGATCGGATCGCTGCCCGTTCGGATTTGAATCCCGGCCAGCGCATTGCCGTAGATATTATTGTGCTCGATCAGCCCTCGACCCTCCGAAAAGATGTACACTCCACCTGGAATTTGGTTTTGATTAGGAAAAGGACGAGGATCGAGGACGGATTGGAGAGGCAAAAAAAGTACTGCTCGAAATACAAAAGAATCGATGGGAAAACTCAAAATAAAGAGGGATTGACGAGATTGTTACAGATTAATTTTTGTTTGTTACAGGTAGGAGATGAATAGGAAGAGTAATGAACTCAAGAAGAGAATAGGAAGAGAAAAAGATACTTTATGACTCTTTTTGGCAGTGTTTGAACTGTTTAGCAGCAAGAATTTTGATAAAAACCCTCAATTCCTACAGTTAAACCCTCTACTCGGAGTATTAAGTAAAATCAAAGAAAAAGATTAAGAAAAGAAGTTTCAATTAAGTTCAACTTCGAGAGCAATTTTGCAAATCAATTCTAGCGTATCAATCATTTTTCATTTACACAAAGAATAGTTCAGAGAATAGTTTCTTAACCATAAACTCAAGCAAATCAATTCTCTAAAATAGTTTTTTTTGTTTGCGACAAGAAATTGTATCTAATTTTAGATCTAAACTATAAAAAAAATTGGATTTTCTTAAAACAATGTCCCGAAAGAGGAAATTGAGTTCAAAAAAGTTCAACCGTAGCTCAAAAAAGCCCGTTTCAAATTCGAGTTTCTTTTTTTGAAGAATTAAAATGCTTGTTTCAATGCTTGTTTTCTTTTTGGCCCATTTTCTAATCCTAATTCTAGTTCTAGTTCTAGTTCTAATTCTAATTCTAATTCTAATTCCAATTCCAATTCTAATTCTAATTCTAATTCTAATTCTAATTCTAGTTCTAATTCCAATTCCAATTCTAATTCTAATTCTAATTCTAATTCTAATTCTAGTTCTAATTCCAATTCTAATTCTAATTCCAATTCTAATTCTAATTCTAATTCTAGTTCTAGTTCTAATTCTAGTTCTAGTTCTAATTCTAGTTCTAGTTCTAATTCTAGTTCTAATTCTAATTCTAATTCCAATTCTAATTCTAATTTTAATTCTAATTCTAATTTTAATTCAAAAATCTCCCCCACCTTGATGTCCACTGTAAATCTCATTCTTCCGAATCGTCGGATCCGAATGTGAGGTGATCCAAATGCCGGCGAACGCATTTTGATAGATCTTGTTCTCCATGAATTGACCTCTTCCTGAAAAGTGTTTTTGATAAAACATTGTTCTAATAACATTTTGAAGCATTTAACTTACAGTGTTTGACTTTAAAGCAACAAAGCTTTCGATTGAAAATGACAAGTTTCAATTAATTCTTGGCTCTATAGAGAAAGAGCGAGTTAATTGGTGCTAATACTCCTGGAGAACTTTCAGCCATTTTTAGCCAACTTTCAGTCATTTTTGCTTCGAAAACTGTTGGCTTTGAGAATTTGGGTAACGGGGATAACGAACTTTTCATCAGATTTACATATTGACTAAACTTATTGTCAAATAGAAAGATCAGTTGAATATACAGTCGACTTTCTCTTTAACGGAACTCTATGCGGAAAACTCTATATAAAGAAAGGGAATTTTGGTCCCGGCCGACGCTAAAGCTATATAAAACGGCACTCTATATAACGGAAAGCTTTATGTAACGGAAAAAAAGTTTTCGGTCCCTTCCATTCCGTTATAGAGAGAGTCGACTGTAGATAGATACCGTAAATACTCTAGTAGAACCACTCTATTAGAACAATCACTCTAATCGAGCCATAATAACGGGGGGTACAGTCGCGTAGTCAACTTTGAACGTCTCTTTCTCGGCGCTGTTTCAAGCTACAGTTTGCGCTTGGGTGTTAAATGATAGCTCTTGAGATCTAGGTTTTTTTGGTACCAAAAGTAGTCAAGAAAAATCTAGGGGCTGAGTAAAAATGATTCTCTAAAAAGAAGCTTTCTAATACGAGGCTTTTTATTAAAGTATTAGGTTGTCCGGAAATAAATGAGCGTTTGCAACTCCAATATTTAAAATCCCATAACTTGATCCAAATAAAACCTAAATCTAGGGGCTGAGTGAAAATGATTCTCTAAAACAAAATCCTCCAAAAACCAAAAACAAACCTTTCTCGTGAACATAGATTCCGCCAGTTAATCCATGGTGAACCTCACAACGGACTACCGTCGGATTTGCGTGGTTTTTCACCTAGATTTCATTCTATTTCATTCTATTTCATTCTATTTCATTCTATTTCATTCCATTTCATTTTCCATTTCATTCTATTTCATTCTATTTCATTCTATTGGGTTGTCCAGTTATGAGTGCGCGTTTTTTACTATTTTGTAAATTTCTCAAGATACCGAAATCAAGAAAAAGATATATATGAGTATTATTCGAAAGCTGAAGATCTCCTCTACATTTTGATATAAAAACGTTTTTGAATTTGTTCAGCTTTTGGGCAAATCAACTGCACAGAAGAAGAGGTGGCCAAAAAATGGAAGGGTGCCTTTGGATCAAGTTTTGGCTCCGCTCAAATTGAGTTAACCGTTTGATGTTTGGCCAATAGATATATCAATACAAATTTTTTAAATATAACAATTTCAGAGCATCTTTACTTTTCTTTTCTTTTCTGGGCGGTTATTTTACAGCATAAAGCTTGAGGAATAGCTAAGCTGGAATGGGTTTTTTCGAAAACCACCTCTCCCTTTGTGAAGTCAATTTCCCAAAAAATTGCATGAATTCAAAAACTTTTTTATTCCAAAATATAGAGGAGATGTTCAGCTTTCGAATGATATATAACACTCATATACATCTGTTCGATATCTTGAGAAATTTACAAAATAGTAAAAACGCGCATTCATAACTGGACAACCCGATATTTCATTCTATTTCATTCTATTTCATTCCATTTCATTCCATTTCATTCTATTTCATTCTATTTCATTCTATTTCGTATTCAGTTCTACTTTTTTCGAAAAAACTTTGCTTATGCATAAATTCGAATGAGTTTATTTGCAAAATTCACCTCAATTCCGCTTATTCGATTCGCGTGAATGTTGCATTTTTCGAAGTATCCTTGACCGAATCTTAAAAATTTTTATATTAAACCGTCTACGTAAAATTCTAACCGCAATAAGTGCAATCTAGCTTTTAAAATAGCTTTTTTTATGTCAAAATCTAGTCATATTACTTGCCAAAACACTCTCAAAAGAACATAAATTAGGAAAAAAAAATCTACCGTATTTGTTCGAATAGAAGACCGGGTAAAGAGTATCATCGCGTACTCCTGCGTAGCAGCCCTTTTTAAAATTTCTTTTCTTCATAAAAGCTTTCAATCAAGTGCTATAGGGCTGGAAAATGACTCAAAAATACCACATGAGCTAACAGATTTTTGAGCCATTTTCCAGCTCTATAGCACTTGATTGAAAGCTTTTATGAAGAAAAGAAATTTTAAAAAGGGCTGCTACGCAGGAGTACGCAATGATACTCTTTACCCGGTCTTCTATTCGAAGAAATACGATATTTCAATTCTCAAACTAGCTGATTCATTAGTTACCCTAAAGTCTCGAGTATGAGTTGATCCGAGTATAAGTTCTGCCTTAATTTACATTCGCTTTAATTGCTTTGAATTTCTTTTTGTTGGGTTTTTATACATTTTTATTGTTATGTAGACTTTTATTATTGTTCTTGGAGCGCTGGGATACTACAGGGTGACAGCCTATCACCATTGCTATTTGTTATGTGCATGGATACATCCAGACGATAGTGTTGAAGAAGACGCTTGAAAGGCATCTCTTTCGACCGTCGACGTGAACTTTGGCCGGATGAAGAGGCCAGGGAGGGATCCATAAGACTGAGCACCGGAGGGGAGCAGGGCGGACGCGCCGAGCCACGCCCGGAGCAACAAATAACAGCATAAAATTGCTATAACCCTCAATAAATTTGCTTCTATTTGTTTACTTCTATTTGTTTACTTCTATTGTTCTTAAAAAGCAAAAAAGTTATGCTGCAGCGGGGTTCGAACCCTCGGCACACCGCACCGGAGACAGCCGTCAATTTGCATGCGAAAACCAAACAGAACTTATACTCGCGACTTTAGGGTACTTGAAAATTTCAAGTTTAGCGTACAACAATGGGCATAAAATTTGCTTTGATAAAAAGATAAAAGATAGCTTAAGATAAAAACTCACTCAAAAATAAAGATCCCAACATCTTTCCCGTCGTGAATATTGCACTTTCGGAAGAAAGGATTCGCGTAATTTTTCACCCAAACACCCGCCAGTTGATTTCGCGCAATCTCGCATTCCTGCAGCAAAATTTAGCATTTAGCAAAGTTGTCACTCAAAGTTGTCACTCAAACGTTCACTCACCTCAAACGTTCCCTGTGCATACTCGGTGATGTAAACGCCCACGTTATCACAATCGCAAATCGAACAATGCCGCACCTAAACAGAAATATTTTTTTAAATCTGAAAGGATGCTGTTTTTTTAACTTTTAAAATTTTAGAGTAGGCTAATTTTCGCAATTTTTTTTTGCGCAACTCGCCATAACTTTCTTCTAAGTTTTGTGGACTTTTGAGAGTAGATAAAAGATCCCAATTATTTTCTATATGAGGGGCAGGCTAGTTTCCGCAACTTCCGAGAAGAATGATCATTCTCCTCCGAAACGGACGTCCGACTCATAGTCGGACGTCCATCTCTGAGTCGGACGTCCATCTCTGAGTCGGACGTCCATCTCTGAGTCGGACGTCCGTTTCAGAGGAGAATGAATCTCCTCAGATTCGGACGTAACATATACACTCGCGAAATAAACTAATTCTGTGGTAGGCTAGTTTCCGCAACGCAACCGCAACAACGCAACCAAACAGGAGTCTTTCTTAGCTAAAAATCTTCAATTTAATAGCTGAGTATTTTGGGTTTTGTGGACTTTTGAGAGTAGATAAATGATCCCAATTATTTTCTATATGAGGGGCAGGCTAATTTCCGCAACTTTTTTTTTTGCGTAACTAGATCTTTTGCACAACTCGCCATAACTTTCTTCTAAGTCGGTCAATCTTTATGATTTTGGTGCCATTTTGTAGATCACAATAAGTGCAACAGATTGTGTTTCAAATAAAATTGGATCAAACTGGTTAATTTTCGGGACTAATATGGATCAAGACTGAAAAAAAGGGGGGTGGCTACTTTGGGCCAAAATTTTTTTTGCGCAACTGGGTCGTTTGCGCAACTCGCCATAACTTTCTTCTAAGTCGGTCAATCTTTATGTTTTTGGTGTCATTTTGTTGCACTTATTTAGCTCTACAAAGTTTGCTTTCCATTATGCGATTAGATCTACAAAATGTGAGCTGAAACTTTTTTTTGTTGAAAAACAAAAGCTTTTAAAAGTCGTTTGGGTTTTAAAATTTCGAAATTCATCAAAACTATCGGAATCTCTGTTATCTGATGTTTTTTAATGGCATATTTTTCCTATTCGAAGTCCCACTTTTGGATTGGCGCCCGCTCGTTTCACGCAAACCGCCGCCCCGACAGTGCTCGTCGAGTTGATGATACAGCGATCGATTGTCGGGCTTGACTCGTCGGTTATCTGAATATTATAGTCGTTTTTGATCTTAAATAAGAAGAATAATTATAATAATGATAATAATGTACTCATTTTTATGATAAATCGTTTAAAAATTAAACTTTTATTTGAAACCGGAGAAATATTAAATTCAAAAAAAGTTCATTGTTTCAAGCTAATGAAAAAAGTAAAAGAAAACAGAAAGCGAAAAGACTCGAACTAGGGAATATTTGCCTTGAACTAGAGAACATTTACCTTGTATTCTAACGCATTGCCACTCGGTCAAAATGCTTTTTAAAGTCCCTGCAAAATCTGCTTATAAACTCGATAATTTTTAAAATTCCATGCAAAACTTTACAGATTTATAACTTTTGACAGGGTGCTATAGAGCAAAAAGGGAAAGCAGATTCGGAATCAGCGTAAAATTCTGCGTTGAATAACCTATAGAAAATGTTATTTGACCAATACACCAAATTGATTGTCTTTATCAATAGCTGATCAATAGCTGATCTTCTGTAAAAATCTTGTAACTCTTCCCGGCCATATTGGAAATCATTTTGCCGTATTTGCTCTAATAGTAGTGCACCCCGACGAGCCGAGTTGATGCCTGTTTTACGGTTTCGAAGCTTTTGCAGAAGCTCAACTAACTCTCTAATCCCCCACTAGATCTCATTGTCAGCTACATTTTCCGACCCCACATCGATAGGTTCTGCTAAGCGGTTCTCGAGATTTCAAGGAATTTAGGCGACGCTCAGGGTGCGCTACTATTAGAGAAAATACGATAACCCTTTAAATTGAAACATAACTTTTTTGAAATGGCTGTTTGAAATGGCTGCAAAATTATAACTTCCTTTACTAATATTTCAGTTTTTATAAAATGTTTATAGAAAACTTTCTATAGAAACTTTTAAATTCGATTTTTCTTCAAAGAATCTCACCTGTAGTGCATAGTAATGAGGATGACCAATGGGTACTCCCTGCACAGCTTGCGAGTTGTTGTCTGGGTTGAATCTGAATGAATGCTTTTTGTAGTAGTTTAAAAATAATATCAAAATATCAGAAAATACAGTATACTCTTAGTCGTTTAAAGAGCTTGAATCGACTTTTCCAATGATCTTTTACCGTATATTGAAACCGTATATTGAAAAATTACTGTAAATACTCTAATAGAAGTACTCCCTATAGGAGCATCGTGTAGTCTAAGTTTACACTCAAACAAACGCTCATATCTCGACACCAGTACATTGTTTTCTGCGCATTTTGATATCAAATTAAACTAGAGAAGATGGGTGATTTTTTGAGATATAACACACCCTTTTAGTATTAACCAGCGCTTAGAAAAAATGATTGAAAATGGGGGAAAAAAGGCGTATTTTTCATCATTTTTCAATCAATTTTTTCTAAGCGCTGGTTAATGCTAAAAGTATGTGTTATATCTCAAAAAATCACCCATCTTCTCTATTTTAATTTGATATCAAAATGCGCAGAAAATAATGTACTGGTGTCGAGATATGAGCGTTTGTTTGAGTGTAAACTTTGTAGACTACATGATGCTCTTATAGGGAGTGCTTCTATTAGAGTGCTTCTATTAGAGTGCTTCTATTAGAGTGCTTCTATTAGAGTGCTTCTATTAGAGTGCTTACGATATCTAGAAGATCTTTAAAAGAACACATTTGATTTTGACATTTAACTATAGATCAATTACTTTCCCAGTTTGAAATTTTACCATAAATCTCCACTCACTTAATCGTCATGTATCCAACATATGCATCAGTCGATCCGTCGCCCAACGAGAGAGTCGTTTCATTGCTGTTCTCGATGAAAACGCGGCGTTGCACTGGATGCGCCGGAGCTAAATGACTTGGTGAAATGACTTGGTGAAATGACTTGATGAAATGACTTGATGAAATGACTTGCAATTTACAGTCGGTGCGCTCACTTCTACGGCCAATTTTCTTGTACTAAGCAACACTTTTTGCTAAAAGTTTTTTAGACCATCGTGTAGCCGAATTGAAGGGCTACATTTTGATCACAGACTCGCATAAAGTGAAAGCACTGGTAAATGGCAATTTCATTCGCATTCATTCGGCGCAATGATCCCTAGACTTTGAATGGAATGCTAATGCTAATGCTGTTCAAATTATTAAGCAAAAATCTCTTTCGACCACTTCTATTTTTGAAACATTGATTTTTGAAACAAAGTGTAACTTCGCATTTGGTTTGTTTGCGAATTTTGTTTGTTTGCGGTTTACAAATGTCTTTGCAGTTTGATTTTTTAAATTCTTTCACTCTTCACTAACAAATTCTATTTCTTCTAAACTCCACCAACCGGCTCCGATCATTTGAATTGACGAGTTGATGGCGATCGATTGTGGATGATATGTGCCCTGGTGAATGAAAATCAATTTCTCTTGACTCGGCTCAGCACGAACGTGTCTGGAAAAGAAATAGTCGTCGTGTTTCAAAATAAATAAGGATTATTAGTGATCTATGGTAGCTGAAGAGGAGGACCACGTAGGACCATTTCAATTTTATGGAAATCTTCGTCTTGATGTTTTGAATTTGAATTCAATCGATAACTCGATCACTTTTCAGTCTACAGAAAGGATAATTAAAAATCAAAGCTATTCAGAATTCAGATAATTTGCTGAATGAAGATCTTTTCTATCTATCTACAGTTTAGAAAACTTTTATGGAACTCTTCGTCTTGATGTTTTGAATTTGAATTCAATCAATAACTCGATCACTTTTCAGTCTACGGAAAGGATAATGAAATCAAAGTGATTCAGAATTCAGATAATTTGCTTGATAAAGATCTTTTCTATCTATCTACAGTTTAGAAAACTGTCGATAGATTCTTTTTATTGAAAAAGTGAATTACTCACTGTAAAGCCGTGTCAATCGTCTCGAAGTGGAGCATTTTTCGGCCGGATTGCCCGGTGTAGATCTTTGCACAATGCGGTCGCACGTGGATTCCGTAACGCTACAAAAAAACAACTTGTTTTAAAGTTATTAAAGTAACATAAGTACATAAGTTTAATTGTATCCTTCTTTTTATAGATTTTATAGATTTTACCTAAATATTTCAAAATTGAAGAGAATTTGAAACATATAGATTTGCAAATTTCTTAAACACTTAAAAGTTCGCTAAAACTAATGTCTCCTATTTTGAAAGCAACACCAACTCGTAAACGGTCACCAAAACTAAGTGATTTTCTGTTTCTATTGAAAACCTACTAAAGCAAAGCTAGTAGTAATCGAAATCCACTTCAATTTCAAAGTTTTCAACCCAACCCACCAATTGTTTGAAACTCTCTTTCCACGCGTTGTGCTCTTTCCACCGGGCTGGTTCGCGGAACTCGAATTTCCCGTGACAAGGATGATAGAGGGGAGTCGGATACTCGAAGGCCTCTTGGTAGAGGTTTTTCCTGTAAATTGAATCAGATTATATTATAGTTAAATGGTTTAAATCAGATCTGGCTTTGGCTTGGCTTGGCTTGGCTTGGCTAGCCTTGGCTTTTAGCCCTATTCGGATACAGTATGTTTATTAAAAAATTAGAAACAAGTAGAAAATTTAGAAAAGAACTATATATTGCTTTGCCAAAATTTACAGTTTCAAAAAATAAAACTCTTTAGTTTCAAGATTTTGCAGGAAAAGTGCAGTATCGAAAAGTGTATCTTTTTCAGCCCAATCGGTCTCAAAAAAAAAGTGCTAAATCAATGTACGGTTTACCATTAGGTCATATCATCTGAATGCGTTACAAAGCATGTTTCAAGGTGTTCAATATTTTCTAAGCTTTCTTTCAATCAATCCCCTAAACTGAAATAAAACAATAAAACTCCATCCTACATAAAATTCGAATAAAACTCTAATAAAACTCGAATAAAACTCGAATAAAACTCCAATAAAACTCTAATAAAACTCCATCACTCCATAAAACTCCATCAAACTTCATTGGGTGAAAAATTGACTTTTCATTTTGATCAATTTTATAAATCTTTTTTTTAATCTAATGAAATTTAAAAATCGAGCAATTTAGATTATAAAAAGACGAATACTTATATTCCCTTTGGTTTTTTTAAAATTTACAAATGTCTACTTCTATTTTAAACACTCTAGTTCTATTTTTAAACAGTCTAGTTCTATTTTAAATACTCTAGTTCTATTTTAAACAATCTAGTTCTATTTTAAATACTCTAGTTCAATTTTAAACAGTCTAGTTCTATTTTAAACAGTCTAGTTCTATTTTAAACAGTCTACTTCTATTTTAAACAGTCTACTTCTATTTTAAACACTCTAGTTCTATTTTAAACACTCTATTTCTATTTTAAACAGTCTAGTTCTATTTTAAACACTCTAGTTCTATTTTAAACAGTCTAGTTCTATTTTAAATACTCTAGTTCTATTTTAAACAGTCTACTTCTATTTTAAACAGTCTACTTCTATTTTAAACACTCTAGTTCTATTTTAAATACTCTAGGTCTATTTTAAACAGTCTAGTTCTATTTTAAACAGTCTACTTTGATTTTAAAATATTAAACTATTACTTTTAGGTCGTTTAAAATATTAAACTATACTTCTACAATTGATAAAAAGTACCAAGTATTGATGTCATTGGCGACACGATAGTAACGCCGCGAAACCGCTCCCAAATTCGCCAAATCGTACTCATAAAGGTAAGAGGAAACCTGAAATCGTTTGATTAATTCCGCAACCGATTGGCTAATTTCCGCAATTTTTTTTTGCGCAACAGGGTCATTTGGGCGATTAGATCTTTTGTGCAACTAGATCTTTTGCGCGACTCGCCATAAATTTCTTCTAAATCTGCCAATCTTTATGATTTTGGTGTCATTTTGTTGCACTTGTTGAGATCTATAAAATGACACCAAAATCATAAAGATTGGCAGATTTAGAAGAAATTTATGGATCCGGACGTCCGAATCGTCCGAATTGACGTCTCCTCAGATTCGGACGTAACATACACACTCGCGAAATAAACTAATTCTGAGGTAGGCTAGTTTCCGCAACCGCAACCGCAACAACGCAACCAAACAGGAGTCTTTCTTAGCTAAAAATCTTCAATTTAATAGCTGAGTATAACTTAATGTTAGTTTCAACTTTTTCAAGATCACTTTCAAGATCAATTCAACTTTAAAACGCAATTTTTTAATGTAAATAGTTGATTGTGCTTTGGTTATGTTTAAGAATTGACTGAAAACATCTCGAAAATGCAACATTTAACTCACTTTAGTCAAAAGCTCTTCGGGCAGCGTCTCAATATAACATTTCCCGTCCTCAGGCGGATCGAGGAAACCCTCTGGTGTGTGAGAGCTGAAAATTTGAATTTATAAATACAATTTTTGAGTGATTATTATAAGTTTTTTTTTTGATTATAAGTACCTATTTTTGGGGGTAACGATTTTGGTAAACTTTTTTCAATGATTTATTTATCTTAAACTTTTTCAATTTTCACTTTAAAGCATTATTAGGTAGCTTAGGCTATGTAGATTCAAATAGTTTTTGAGTTTTTTCAAAATCTATTACAAAAAAAGTGTTTAAATTGTGGGTTGAAGTTTGGGAAAATCGTGAGCGTGATACTAAAGAAGTACCTATTTTTTTCATTTAAATTCTTAGCCAGAAAGACTTATCCTTATCCTTATCCTTATCCTTTTTTTTTTAAAGGTAACTTTTTGAAATGAATAATAAACCAATTGATTTATGCTTTGTTTTATCAGAAAGTTCTATTGTTTATTTACAAATTACCCTTTAAGAAATTGTGAAAAGCTCAAGTTAGTTAATTTTTTTTAAACTGTCAAGTCGAGGACTTTAAAGTCCTGTCAAGTCAAAACTGTCAAGTTTAACTGAAACTTAAAGCTCCGATTTGAGCACTTTCTGTCAAAGAAACCTATTTTAGTGTTAAAAGATAAAAGATAGAGAATAAAAAGTTAGGTAGGTAGAGAAATTTTCAGAGAAATTAATTCAGCCGATTTCATTCTATGTTCATTGCAATGATTTTAGGAAAAAAGGAAAGAATTCTCATTTGGATTTGCTTCAAAGTGGGCTAAAATTTGACTAAAAATGAGCTAAATTAAATAGGTAATCGCTTTTGAAATAGTTAATTGTTTTTGAAATAGTTAATCGTCTTTATTTAAAGCAAAAGAGTTTATCAGCTAAGTATTCATTTATAAAGGAAGATTTCAAAAAAAGTGGGCAAGATTTCTCGGCGAAAACAATCGTTTCCCCATCTTCAAGTAGTTGAAAACATTCATTTAAAGAGCGCTGATTAAAGAGATGCTTAGGTTAAGTTAAAACTTGTTAAGCTAAGTTAAAACTTGCTTTCTTAAGTTAAAACAATCGTTTCCCTATCTTCAATCACTTCAAACATTCATTTAAAGAGCGCTGATTAAAGAGATGCTTGAGTTAAGAGCTCCTCTTATAGCATTAAGTAGTTTAGGATAGAATTTCAATATGATCCAATATGATTCAATATTGCTTCAATTGATTGATTGCTTCAATTGTTTGAATAAACTAGTTATCTATTTTTCCCTCAAAATCTCCCCTGGAAAACGGGAAATGATTGAAATTCCACAGCTAGGACAAGCCTTGTTCCCACTTGTTTTGCCCAGTGTTTATCTTTGGTGTGTAGTGAGCGAATTCTTCTTCAATTCTCCCCTTTTCCCCCCATCAAAATACCAAAAGAAACATTTCTCTTGTCTGTTTTCTTTCCGAAAATATTTCTTTCACTTCATTGAATGTTTCGTGACTTTTTTTAAGAACGCTACAAAGAATACCGAAAATCTGGGAAAGAGAAAAGGAAGAGAAAGAGAAAGTTAACCTATAAGCAGTACTTTCTGGAGCTCACTACAGCTTTCATTTCGATTCACAAAGGGTCATACCTATCATTACCTATCCTGTAATTTCAGAGAGTCGCTTCTGATAGGCTCAGGCTTAGGCTTCTGGTAGGCTCTAAGCCTTTGCCTATTGCAGAAGCTGTAGTGAGCTCCAGAAAGTACTGCTTATAGGTTAACTTTCAAAAAATTGAGATCAATTTGTGTGCTTTATTCACTCAAAATTTTCCCCTAGAAAATTCGATGTAAAAATTCTTTCTTTAAAAACTAAGTACGTCTGAATTTTACATTTAAGAGTTCAGTGCCTATTTCCTTGAATAATTCTTTGATTATTCATACAGTAGCACAGTTAAAACTATCGTAATCGTATAAAAAGTAAACATTTTAAAATAAACATCAGCTAAAAAGAATAAGTTTCAAGTTTACCAATGATTTAAAGCATTAAACAATCTTAGTCCCTCTTAAGCTAAAAAAAATAAGTTTCAAGTTTACCAATGATTTAAAGCATTAAACAATATTAGTCCCTCTTAAGCTTAAAAGAATAAGTTTCAAGTTTACCAATGATTTAAAGCATTAAACAATATTAGTCCCTCGTCGCTTTGCCAGAAAAAGTTCTCTTGAATTTAAATAAAAAAACAATAAGTTTAAAGTTCATCAACTACTCAATCATTGAAAATTTTTAATATTCCAATATTCTCACCTTTTCCGAGCCTCGCCTGGTGAATCGGCTTTGAAGCGCTTGCATGTCGGTTGCAGAGAAGATTGCTGAAATTTTAAATTTGAGAAAATCTGTAACCAATCTGTAACTGTCCCTATGCATCTATATTTCATTTATAAATGAATCAAAGAATTAATTAATCAACTAATTCTCCAAAACCATTCAACCAACAACCTTCAACAAAACTTTCAACTAAAAAATGAATCTTTTTAGATAGTTGGGCTTAAAATAATTCGATATAAAGTCCGCTTACATATCTTCTAAATGATTGATGTTAGATCTTCTATATATCTTCTATATCTTCTTTAATTGAATATCTTTTCATTGCTTTCATTTCCCAGAAACCTGGGGTGTTAGGTCACTCAAAAAAGGGGGAAGAGTAGAGTGGCGATTGACCCGGCTTGACCCTGGCCCATTCCCTTTGTTTTTGACCTCTAGGAAAAATGGCTATGAGTTATTAGCTGTCTAAACAATTGTCATTTTGGCATTTGGCCATCGATTGTGAGAAAAACTGGTTCAAAAGGTTGATAAACTTATTGAAAACATTATTGATAAAAATAATGTTTCAAAGAAAGAAAGATAAAGTCGAGAGAGGAGCTGTTAATCTCGAGCTGATGTGAAATCTGATTTTCCTCTGAAAAAAGACAATTTAAGCTTGCTATCTTCGAATTAAAAAGACAAGTTTCAACTTAACCAGCAAGGAAATTTGTTTTTTTATTATCAGTAAAGCCTTTATTTGCCATTTTGTCGTTTTGAGACAACTTTAGATACATTTTAATGGTCAATCGCTTGAATTCACTAGACTAGATCATTTAGATCAAATTCCATGTCATTTTCAGATTTAGAGTCACAATGCTGTCGTTAAAATAACAAATTTTTGCCGTTTACGTTGAAACTTGCTATTTTCTCGCTAATTCAGGAAAGCTAGTGCTAAAATAAGAAATTTAAACTTCAATGCTTCAACAATCAAATTTTCGTTTCTAATAATGTCTAATATTGTAAGACTAATATTGTAATACTAATATTGTAAACGTAATATAGCAATACGAATACATTGCCAGACACATTTTCTTGTACAATTCTTGCTATTAGATACTTAACTATAACTAACTATAACTAACTATTGTCAGTTGTCAGTATTAAGGGACTATCAGTTAGTCCCTTAGTATCTTCATAGAAACCCTTGCCAAGTCATCCAAGCCATCCTTCCCCTTTCCCCAAACGAATCTCGAGGTGGACAGGGGTTACATTGCGCAAGTCGACCTCTAATGTCAGGGACACTCCCTTCTTTTCTTTGCCGATCACACAAAGACCACATGGGACCGTAAAATAGAACATGGGATGTTTTAACCTTTTTTCTTATCTAGGTCAGCTTATGGGGTTAACTTGTAACTTGTAACTCATCTAACGAAAGGCCAAACCTTGCAAACCTGTAAGCCAAACAGCTTACAAATTTTCTGGAAAAGAAATTACTTTGTACTTTTGTAATTGCTAGAGTCAGAGCTAGCTTATGAGAAAAGAAACAACTCAACTAGCCATTGTTCAATTCAAACTGCTTTATAGTTAGTCAAATTGAAACTTCAAATCCTATTCATCCTCGGAAGACACGCTGTGCATTTTTTTTTGGTTTCAAAAGGTTTCAAAAGTGACCCAGTATTTTCATTTTGAGTTTTCTGAAGATCTTCCGAAATAAAATCAGAATTACAGCGTTTATGAAACTTAATAAACCCACAAAAAGAATCAAGCAGATCTGCTTGATTCTTTCTTTATGATTGATCAAGCTTAAACCCACAGGGGATCATTCTAATTAAGCATACTATACATTTTTGATTTCAAAAATGATTCAGTATTTTGGGTAATAGCAGAATGCCAAAAGAATTCAGGATAAATAAGAAATTTACTTGCAATTTCGATTGCCTATGTAGAGTTTTTCTGAAAAAAAAGGCAGCTTTTGATAATTTTATTAGGCTCCTGATCAGAGTTGGTAAAAAAGCCAAATTTCTTAGCCAAGTCAAACCAAAGTTAAGGTCTTAGATCAAATCTAACAGTTAGGTTGAAATTGTAGGCCAAGGTCAATTGAAAGTGATTGGCTTTGGCTTGGCTTGGCTTGGCTTGGCTTGGCTTGGCTTGGCTTGGCTTGGCTTGGCTTGGCTTGGCTTGGCTTGGCTTGGCTTGGCTTGGCTTGGCTTGGCTTGGCTTGGCTTGGCTTGGCTTGGCTTGGCTTGGCTTGGCTTGGCTTGGCTTGGCTTGGCTTGGCTTGGCTTGGCTTGGCTTGGCTTGGCTTGGCTTGGCTTTGGCTTGACTTGGCTTGGCTTGGCTTCGCTAGCCTTGACTTTTAACCCTATTCGGATACAGTATGTTTATTAAAAAATTAGAAACAAGTAGAAAATTTAGAAAAGAACTATATATTGCTTTGCTAAAATTTACAGTTTCAAAAAATAAAACTCTTTAGTTTCAAGATTTTCCAGGAAAAGTGCAGTATCGAAAATTTAATGAGCGCGCTTTTTCGATTTATTTATTTCTTATTTTTTGTGTAAAAGTTCTTATTTTTTTAAAGTTTCCTCCAAGATTTTCAAAACCCCTTTCCTTTTAAAAAGGAATTTCCAAGGATAAGGTGAATAAAAGTGTCGCTTTCCTTTCAGAGAAGAAAGAAAAAGAAAAGGGGGATGTGGCCTATTTCTTGAAAAGAAAATGGCTTTCACTCACCTCAATCCATACTCACATCAAGGAAAAGGGGGAAAAAGGAAAAAAGGAAAAAAAAGAAGAAAAAGAGAAAAAGAAAAGGAGGAGCTCGATTGCAGATCCCCCTAGAGATCCCTTTGCCTGTTTGTGCGTATCTCTAGTGCCTAGCACCGTCCACCTCCTCAACCCACCCCTCCCCATAGCTCTAGTTCGATGTCTTCTGCAAGGATTCTGATAGCAAATTATTAGATTAGCAGATTTTTAGGCTTTAGAAGCTTTAGAAATCTCCCAACCCAACTAGCCTCACCGAAACTGAAATAACCCCGTCAAAGTTGAAACAAAGCTTTATAAAGACCCAGGATGGCGTGATTTTCTTAAATTCTTAAATTCTTAAATTGAAAACAATAAATACTTTAAATTCTCTATTATACCGGCATTATTATAGCATTATTAGCGCTATTAAAGCTCAAAAAAGATATCGAAAGATAGAGCGCCATGTCAGCGCTATTAGAGCTTAAAAAGGATATCGAAAGATAGAGCGCCATGTTAGCGCTATTAGAGCTCAAAAAGGATATCGAAAAATAGAGCGCCATGCTGGTCTAATAGAGCATTTACAATAGCGCAATTTTTTTCTAAAACATATTTGAAAATCCGTCTACTTATGTGGACACTAGTCGATTTTTAGGCTTTAAAGAATTTAAAGTTGAGGGTAGGAGTTTATTAGACTCAAGTAGACTGAAGAAACTCTAGCAAAGTTGAAACAAAACTTTCCAATGCCTTAAAAATAGGAACAAGATTTAAGAGCCTAATAAAATAAGCTTTGAACAAAAAAAAGGGCATGATTCTGGATTCTTTCTGGAAAAAGGCAAAGAGTTAAAGCTTTTTTTAAAGTTTAAAAGCTAAATTTAAACGCTAAAAGCTAAGGTAAATAAATAGAAAAAGCTTAAAATGTAGCTAATGAAATTTCGTACTAGAAATCGACAACCTCTTGAGTAACTTTAAGATAAAAACATGGAGAAAATCTGGGTCAAAGTTGGACTATCTATTTGAAAGGGTCGAGCTTTGAACTTTGCTTTGAAAAAGCTTTGAACAAGCTTTGAACAACAAGAAAACAAGCTTTGAACAAAAAAGGGCATGATTCTGCATTCATTCTGGGCAGAGGGGAAGAGTTAAAGTATTTTTAAAGTTTAAAAGCTAAATTTAAACACTAAAAGCTAAGGAAAATAAATAGAAAAAGCTTTGAAAAAATTGAAATGAATTTTTTTTGAAAAATAATTGAAAATCCGTCTACTTATGTGGACACTAGTCGATTTTTAGCCTTTAAAGAATTTAAATGAGGGTAGGAGTTGATTAGACTCAAGTAGACTGAAGAAACTCTGGCAAAGTTGAAACAAAACTTTGCAATGCCTTAAAAATATTTGAAAAGTTTAAGATCATTGTCAATCACCACTTTCTGCAGGTCTTCAAATCTTTAAATGTCAAAATTCTCTCCGATTACTCGCCTCAACTCTCTCTGATCAATATTTTAAAAGATTAAGATTGTAAAAGATTGTTTAAATATCAAAATCCTCTTCGATCACTCACCTCATCAGCTGTAGCGGCAAGCGTGCTCGCGCACGATCCTTCTTCGTCTTTTTGCTGGATCGAGCGGCGACGACGTAATGTGTAGCGACTGAAAAGTTACAGTAATCCTAAGCATAAAGACTTTAGTATTAAACTTTCGTATTAAACTTTAGTATTAAAATTTAAAGCTTTTAACCATTAAAGAGTTTATGAATTAGATGTTTACTTGGACTTTTTGAGTGAATCAATAAATATAAAATTTTAGAGTTTCAAAATTTTTAACTTGAGAGAGTTCAGTCGTTTGTCAATCACCATTGTCTGCAGTTTTCAAATATTTGCATTTATCTACAATCTCTACAGAAGTCTACAATATCTACAGAAGTCTACAATCTCTAGAGAAGTCTACAATATCTACAGAACTCTACAATCTCTACAGAAGTCTACAATCTCTACAGAAGTCTACAATCTCTACAGAAGTCTACAATCTCTACAGAAGTCTACAATCTCTACAGAGGTCTACAATCTCTACAGAAGTCTACAATCTCTACAGAAGTCTACAACTTCTACAGAAATCTACAATATCTACAGAAGTCTACAATATCTACAGAAGTCTACAATTTCTAGAATTCTACCGTAACTGCAACACTTGAACCAGAATTAGTTAAGGATTTCGAAATTAAATCAAAAAAGGTCATTATTGTCTAAGGTCGATGATCCTTATTATTAAATATTTTGAAACATGATTTTTTTCATTTAAAAAAATTTTTTTTTATTAAATTAAAAAATTTAATTACAAATCTTCTATAAAATTGCTAGTTTAGAGGAAAGGAAATTTGGTTTTTAAATTCAAAACCTTCTCAAAGTGATGGGACTGTTTGTAGTTGATGTCTCTTTTGATGTTGTTCCAATGAAAGCCGTTGCTTCCAGCGAAGACGATGAAGAGGAAGAAGAGCAGGATTTTATCGATTTTAGAGGCGTTTCCTGAAAATGAAAAGTAATGTTTCGAATTTGGGTGTAATGTTTCGCGGTAGTAATGTCTAATAATGAAAAAGCATGTTTCAAATCTTGTTCCTATTTTTAAGGCATTGGAAACTTTTGTTTCAACTTTGCTAGAGTTTCTTCAGTCTATTTGAGTCTAATAAACTCCTATCCTAATGTTTCATAGGCAAATCTTCTATATATCTTCTATATCTTCTTTAATTGAATATCTTTTCATTGTTTTCATTTCCCAGAAACCTGGGGTGTTAGTTGTTTAAATCACAAATTGTTTAGAAACTTGTCAACTTCGAATTGAAGTATTTCCCTTATCTGATTTACCATTTATTTACTTTGTTTACTTTGTTTTTACTTTGTTTACCCCGGAATTTATCCATTTACCGCCTTATTTCCTTAGGACTCGCAGAAGTGAGCAATGAAAGCAAAGCAAAGCAATGAAAGCAAAGCAAAGCAATGAAAGCCCCCCTTGTTGGCAATTAATGTTTCAAAGGGTTCAACTTTAGCTTTGAACTGGTTATGTTAATAAATCGTAGTGATTTTCTTGGTTAGCTTTGCCATTTACACAAAAGAAGTGTGTTTGTTGTTACACAAACACATTTGTGTATCAATTACCCACCCCAAGAAGCTCTATGAGTGAGAAAAATAGTACTCAATAGACATCGGCACTATAAACTACAAAAATGATCAACTGTCCATTCCAAACGCTTCTAATTTGCTTGAAATCTATCGGATTTGCATGATCTATAGCTCAAAAGATAGAGAATTTCTAGAGCTTTCGAATGGACTAAAGCACATTTAAAAATAATAATGCTAAATGAAGTTACAGTGGTTTGACTTGAAACGGATCGTACTCGCGCGGAGTCGAAGTGATCGAGTCAGGTTACAAACTACAAACGAGTCGGTAGAGACTACTTTTGAATAGTGCATTGGAAAGCTCTTGAAATTCTCTATCTTTTGAGCTATAGATCATGTCAATCCGATAGCTTTGAAGCAGGCTAGAAGCGTTTGTAGTTTGTAGTCTCCATGCCAATGTTTCAGTTTTCAACATCATACTCGAGTTGATTTTTCCAATTAATCACATTGGGAAATACTTTGGTTAACTTTGGTTAACTTTAGCTAACTTTGGCTAACTTTAGCTAACTTTGGTTAACTTTAGCTAACTTTAGCTAACTTTGGCATTTATTTGCAATCACTTTTACACTACCCATCCCATTCTCATCTCATTCCCGATTCACGTTGAAACTCACATTATTCGCCCCTCCTTCTTCGACATTTTCATATTTCGGACTCGGTCGATCATCCATACTCATCTCCTCATCCTCCATTTGAGATCTAACTGGAAATTCGAAAATAAATCACATATACACTACTGGACAATGAAATATCATATTTGAAAAAAGATCGTCACTTTCGCGCGTCTGTAGCTCCCTTGTCTTTACCGTATTTCTAAATATTAATATTACCATCGTGTAGCCCTTGAAAAGAGCTTTCAGAAAATGTATAACACTAATAGTTTAAACTCAAAGACACGGGAGTTACAGACGCGCGAAAGTGACGATCTTTTTTCAAATATCATATTTCATTGTCCAGTACTGTATAACTGTTGATACTAATATCAACTACTAATTTTCAATTCCACCAACTTGTTTACCTGAAATCTTTTGAGAGCTTCTGCGAATCGATTTAAACAAAGATGCAAAGAAAGCTCAAAAATCTGAAAATCATTTTGCTTTAATTTTAATAGCTGAGAATTTTTTGAGAAAATGGAGAACATAATTTATCATTTAAAAAAAAGAGAAACTGAGTAAGTTGAAAGGAAATTAGTTTAAGCAAGGACACAGAAATAAATTTGCTCAAAAGCTAAGCTGTTTAATTGTTTTTATTAAACAGCTTAGCTTTTGAGCAAAATTGAAACATCAACTCTTTGACAGAATTGAAATTGGTGGGTTTCTCTCTTTTTCAACAACAAAATGCTTTATAAATATGATAAAACTGTAAAAAACTGTTGAAACTTCAAGTTTTTGCAAAACAATTCGAGTTATTCAAAAAGAAAGAGAGATGCTGAAAATATTGAAACATTGACTTTTTCAACATAAACAAAACGCTTAAAAGCCGAAGAATAAGATGTTAAAACGCGGAAAAACTTGTGAATAGTGTGAATAACATACCGTAAATAATGTAATAGTACCCCACCCCCCTCGTACAGTCGCGTAGTCGCAAAAGTTTTTTAGTATTTCATTTTTTTCAAAGCGCCCGTACTTTCAAAAAATGCGTCTTTGGTATCAAAAAATAGCTGAAATTCAGGGCTATTTTTTGATACCTAAGCGCGCATTGTAGCATAAACCAGTGTCGAGAAAAACTTGTTCAAAGCTAGACTACGCAACGCTCCGCACCGTCATTATGGGGGTGGGGTGCTATTACAGTATTTACGGTATGTATAACTTTTGGTTATACATATTTTTCAAAATTTTGCTTTAAATCGTGTTTCAAAATGCGCAACCTTAATGGAGAATACCCTGGGTAATTTTGCAGCGTTTAGGCTCTTGCTCAGCCTCATCTATTGATAGTGGATGTCGTCAAATGTCGATTGCTGTTAGGACCATGATCTGTCATAGCTTTGCTCCCTGGTTTGACTGACCCTGTCCCCGGCTGATCCAAAGTCAAACCTAAGCCTAAGCCAAACATTGATCACCCACTATGCCAGCTTTTTTTGACGATCTATTGACGATTCAATCAAAATCATTTTTATATGTGCAAACATAGAATTTCATCTAGTTCCTAAAAAAACAAACAACTAGCAAAAATTTTAAAGTTAAAAGAAGTTATTCCCCAAAGGTTGCGAATTTTGGAGTGAAACTAGTAGATTTTGTTGGATCGAAGTTTGAAGCCGCGCTCAGGATTCTGACCATGTCACGACCCTGGATTCTACCAAACTTTGAAACATCATTTTTTTGAATGAACAAAAAACCAATTGGCTTACAGCTTCGATCTGTTTACAGGACTTATTAAGCTTTAGAAATATTCAGCTAATAAGAAAAGTTGAAACATTGATTTCTCGAACGGAACCAAAGAAACCAAATTCGTCTAGGAAAGATTTTTCGTTTGGTTGGAAGGGGATTTGAGGAGAAAAGGGGAAAACAAGGCGCAGACAGACAAACTAAGCGAATGACACAGAAATAGATGGGGAAGAGGTTGTGGAGAATGCGGAGGAATGAGAGAAAACGATTGGGAGACAACGACCGACTGGGGGAGGGGAAGGGTGCTTGAATGGATATCGAATGTGAAGGGGGAAAGCTCTGAGACTGGCACGTAGCCCTTTCTGGATTGGCTTTTCTGCTGATCCTTAGATAAAACACATGAAAACATGTGAGCTGAAAGAAGCGATCTGTGAGATGCTTATCGGACATTTGATACGCGCCCCGTTATTGGCAATCTAACTTTGAGCTCAAATAACTTCGTGTTGGGCTGTTCAATTTCAATATTCTTGATATAATTAGACTTGCCAAGTCTTTCTCCGTCGATTGGTACAAAAACTATCAAAATTGGACAGTTTGACACGAAGATATTTGAGCTTAAAGTTGGATTGCCAAGCAACTCGATTTTCTCAAGACTTGCTTGATCAATTTAGCCCTATTTGGTTTCATTATATAGCTTAGCATTCTCTCTATCAAAATATAGAAAAAGAAAACAAAAAGATCAACTCTGAGCAAAGATAGGAGTCATTGCAGCAGCGCTTACCATTCAAAATACTCGAAAACCCGAACTCGTACATTGAAATTAGCCGGACGACTAGTAAAAATTGAAATCTTTAAAATGTGATTATAAATTAAAAGATATTCAGCTAGCTTTTAGTCTTGCAGAAGTCTAAAAATGTCAATATACTTTAAAAATTGGATTCAAGAAGTCGGAAGTCGTTCTTCTTGTGCACCGGAAAATCGATTAGTGGGCGCTGACAAGGAGCTGAGGCTGAGGAGGGATTTTTGGCCTATTTGCTCAAAAATATTCTAGTTTTTTTAAAAATGACTCTGCTTCTGAAAAGTTAGTTAAGAAGAAAAATGAAATAAACTGAAGGCAGAACAGGCATGAAAAAGAAAGAGAACAAAGGAAGAGTTATGAATTTCAATGATTTCAAAAAGATTTATTGAAATTAAAAATAAAAATAAAAGAATTTTGATATCTACTTATTCATCATTATTCTGATTTAACAATGGTAAATAGACATTTTGATTTATCTATGAGAAAGTTAGTTGTTGAAAGTTGAAAGTTAGTTATGAAATTTAAGAGTTAGTTTTGCTTGAGTTTGTTCCTATAGAGGGCTTCTATTAGAGTATTTACGGTAAGTCTAAAGTTGAAAGTTTCATGTTGAAATATTGGGTTGGTGAATTGAAAACTGCGGGCTATTGTCATATGTGACAGTTTGAGGACTTTCTTCAAAAGAAACCCATTTTGGTGTCAATGGAAAAGTTGTAGAGAATCAAAAATCAAGCTTATATCCAAATTTTCAGCACGATTCAAAAACTGGTTTTCAAGAAATGCCAAATTTACGAAACTTTCACAAAACTTGCATTTTAAGCGAAACTACTAAGTGTATCTTTTTGGAAATTTGGCTATAAGCCTAATTTTTGATTCTCTGCAACTTTTCTATTGACACCAAAATGGGTTTCTTTTGAAGAAAGTGCTCAAACTGGGACATTCCTTCATTTTTGAGTCTCCAGTCCTCCATTTTTGAGTCTCACACTTGTCTCACACACAAACCAAAATCCTACCACGAAAGAGGAATCCGCAAATTGCCTGTAAAATGGGCAGAAGTCGTCAATAATAATGGAAATTATTTGGAATGAATTCATGGTTTTATGTTGAATAAATTTTAGTTCAAAGTCCCGCAGTTTTCAATTCACCAACCCAATAGTTTACTTAATGCTTGAAAGAAAATAGTGTTAAGCTCTTCCCTATGGGTCGAATGTAAAGGGGAATAAGACGAGAAAAAGGATAAATAAATAACATATAAATGATAATAAAAGGATTAATATCTACCCAAGGTATGTGTCATTATTTTGGTCTAACAATGGTAATTCTATTTGCTTCATAGACTAGTTTACTTCATACTAGGAATGTTTAAAAATGAAGCTTCAAAAAGGAAGAAGATGAGGAAGAAGTAGCGGTTTGAAAAAGCTCGGCATTAAGGGAAGAGTGTTGCGTGCAATAGCCTGGTATCAAGGCAGAAGCTCAGGTGGCAAGGGTATGCGATTAGGTAGATCAATTCACTAAAAGACCAGGTTTATGTATCCAAAAATGATAGTAAAATAATCCAGTGAACCATAGAATTGTGCTTGACTATCACAAGGAATACAAAGGAAGAAGAAGACGAAGATGAGGAAGAAGAAGAAGATGAGGAAGAAGATGGAGATGAGGAAGAAGTAGCGGTTTGAAAAAGCTCGGCATTAAGGGAAGAGTGTTGCGTGCAATACAACACTGATCACTCAGCAAAAATGATCATTTCACTAATTAAAGAATTTATAAGAATCCAGTAAACCGATCGACTGTGCTTGACCACCAAAAGAAATACAAAAGCAAGACGATGCAGTTGAAGAAGTGGTGGATAGGAAAAAGGGGAAGACAGTGCTAGCCGGTGTCTCCACACACTTCGATAGGTGAAGAGGAGGAAAAAGAGGATGGACGGCCTAAATCAAGACAAGAAAGAGGTGAGGGGAAATTGGGGGAATGGTTGGGGGATACTGAAGGGGTAAGGATTGGAGAGAGGGTCCGAAAGGAGGAAACCGTCGAGGAGAATCAGGCCGCCCCCCTTTTCGGCCTCTCTTTCCCAGTAAATCCTTGTCTTTTTCAACTCTCGAATAGTTCTATCTCTTCCATTTTGATATCTCTGAATCTCTATGGTTTTACTGGACTCTAGCCTACTGCCTAACCCTGAATCTCTGCGCTGAGCTTGACTCTACTCCTCTTCTCCACCTCTCTTTGTCCTGATGTCTAAATTTTCGTTTTCTAAGATCCCTTCTTTCTTTAGAATCTTTAGATCTCTCGCTTTTCTATATTTAGACCTAATACTTAGCACTTCTCTAGCCAACTCTCCTAAAAGTCTTACTATTCTCAAGACTTTGTCGTGTCTAACCTGCATCTCTCTGCTTCTACCCTCACCCCAAGTCTCCACACAATCTCTCATCCATCTTCACTCCATGCATACCCATCTTCTCTCCCATCTCTTCCATTCCACTTCTCTCTTTCTCCTCTACAATCCAATCTCCTCACCCACTCGACCCTTTCTCTTCTCCTCTTCTCCTCTTCACCCCCCTTTCCCCGTCGATTGATTCACCCGCACGCCACGCTTTGACGCCCGGCGAGGAAAATAATTAACTGGAGAAAGAGAAAGAGAAGAGAAAGAGAAAGAGAAGAGAAGAAGAGAGAAAGAGAAAAGAGAAAGAGAAAGAAAGAGAAAGAGATGAAAGAAAGACTAGTGAGATTGGTTACTTAATCGAAAAGTTTAAACTTACCGTAAATACTCTAATAGAAGCCCCACTATAGAAGCATCGTGTAGCCTAAGTTTACTCTCAAACAAAAACTCAGATCTCATCATTAGTTTCTGCGCCTTTGATTATCAAATTAAAGTAGAGAGGAGAAAGTAGAGATCAAATTAAGTGCTAAATATACGCCTTTTTTCCCCCATTTTCAATCATCTTTTTCTAAGCGCTGGTTAATACTAAAAGGATGTGTTATATCTCAAAAAATCACCCATCTTCTCTACTTTAATTTGATATCAAAATGCGCAGAAAACAATGTACTGGTGTCGAGATATGAGCGTTTGTTTGAGTGTAAACTTAGACTACACGATGCTCCTATAGTGGGACTTCTATTAGAGTATTTACCAAAAAGAACAAAATTGTTCTTTAATGATTGTTCTTTAATGATTGTTCTTTAACAATTATGAGCGGAAAATGCCGAAAAACCCTATCGTAGGTTAGCCATTCGGAGCTGAACACTTTAACCCTAAATACAAAAGTAAAGAAAAGCGGATTTCAAATTATTACTCCCAAAATATGAGCCAAAGCTTTAATATAACTCTGTGAGCTAATAGCAAGTCTCAAAATCATTTTAGAAAATGAGTAATGCGAGGGAAATCTTTTCATAATGCAAAATTGGGAAGCTAAATACTTTGAAGCCCATTGGGAAGCTGAATACTTTGATAGTTTACCCAAGCTCAATGCACTAAAAAGCAGGTTTCAAACGTTTCAAAAAGCAGCTTTCAAAGAGCAGCTTTCAAAACAGCTATGAAAAGATTTTCCTCGCAACCTTTGAAACCTTAAAAGCAGCTTTCAAAGGTTTAAAAAAGCAGCTTTCAAAACTTTAAAAAAGCAGGTTTGAAAGCTTTAAAAAAAACAGCAGCTTTCAAGGCTTTAAAAAAGCAGCTTTCAAAGGTTTCCCCCTTAAAATATATTACGTTTTACGTTTTTCTTCAAATCGTTTCTCTAATAAAGTCTTCAAAACTATTTACTTTTAGCTAATGTCTTTGCAAATAGCTCTCAATTCTTTTAGAATTATATAAATGTATGAAAATTATCATTAGTCGAAGTAGACTGAAAAATTTGCGTCTTTTGGCTCGCTGCAAACATGAAGAACGAAAGCAAGAAGAAGACGAAGATGAGGAAGAAGTAGCGTTTTGAAAAAGCATGGCATTAAGGAATGAGTGTAAGAAGAAGTAGAAGAAGAAGAAGTAGAAGAAGAAGAAGTAGAAGAAGAAGAAGTAGAAGAAGAAGAAGTAGAAGTAGTCGAAGTAGAAGTAGTCGAAGTAGAAAAGCAGGTTTCAAATTCTGGCCCCTTCAAAGATCAAGCTCTTGCTTTAATTCTTTGTAAAAGCAAATTTCAAAATCATTTCCTTTCAGTAAAATTGCTTCAAGAATAGCCACATGCACTTCCTTCAAATCAACAAATTTTGCAATAATAAATGAAGAAGTATGAAGAAGTAATCGTTGCGAGAAATTCTTCAAATTTGATGATTTGCTCAAGAGGATAAGCGGCTACAAAAGGGGAAGAAATGGCAAAGAAATCCGACAACAAGATGAGATTGGAGATTGGGGAAAAGCCTCGTTTCAAAATAGACAAAATGAACGGTCAATCTAGAGCAATAATGGATCTTTTCTTTTTCTCTGTCGCTTGCAAAAATCTAAATTTATCAAGAAAAATGAAGATAGAGATGATGAAGATTTGAAGATTGAAGATTTGAAGATTGAAGATTGAAGATTCGAATTTAACAAATCGAATATTCAAACTACGTCAGCTACCATGAAATAGGCTTATTTTGAAACAGCATTTGTTAAAATTTGTCAATTAATCGTTGATCGCCTCTAAAAAGCATTACTTCGACGCCGACTTCCCTTACCTACATTATTCTATCGACTAGAGGCTGTTCACCTTGGAAACCTGCTGTGGATATGGGTACGATCCGGTACGAGATTCAAATTGGTTCCCTATAAAGTATAAAGATATAAAGATATAAAGATATAAAGATTTAAAAGATAAAACTCCTTAAAAAGATCCAATTTCAGAAAAAAATATCAAATTTTTGAAGTCAAATTTCTCACGCAAAAAAACGTGAGAAAAATTAGCAAAGCAAAAAAAAAGCCGCTTCGAAAAACGAAAAACTTGACTTTTTTTGAAAAAGAATTCATTTTTTTGCTCAGCTAAGAAGAAAAAAAAAAGGAAACGAAAAAGAAATTTTGTTTGAGGCAAGCAAATGAAAAGAAATCTGTCTGGAAAAGAAAGCATTCAAAAAAAGACCGGGATTTCCTTTTCCTTTTCCTTTCCCGTCTTTTTACGTCTTTCTCACCGATTTTTGCCATGATTTTTCGAGTCTCAAGACTGGACTTTGACACAAGATTGGCTAGGGATTTTTATCGGGAAAAAGGAAATGAAATGGAAAGATCAGAGCTGAAAATTTGTTGCAATTTGTTGCAAATTGAAAGCCAAATTGAATGCAAATAGCCAAATTGAAATTTCACACAAATTGATTGTGTGAAAGTTTTAAAAGATCACAATTTACAAACTAGTAATCAAGAATTTCTTTCTAGTTCTGTTTCTAGTTCTGTTTCTAGTTCTGTTTCTAATTCTGTTTCTAGTTCTGGTTTCTAGTTCTAGTTTCTAGTTCTGTTTCTAGTCCTGTTTCTAGTTCTGTTTCTAGTTCTGTTTCTAGTTCTGGTGCTAGTTCTGTTTCTAGTTCTGTTTCTAGTCCTGTTTCTAGTTCTGTTTCTAGTTCTGGTTCTAGTTCTGTTTCTAGTTCTGTTTCTAGGTCTAGTTTCTAGTTCTGTTTCTAATTCTGTTTCTAGTTCTGGTTTCTAGTTCTGTTTCTATTTCTGGTTTCTAGTTCTGTTTCTAGTTCTGTTTCTAGTCCTGTTTCTAGTTCTGTTTCTAGTTCTGTTTCTAGTTCTGTTTCTAATTCTGTTTCTAGTTCTGTTTCTATTTCTGGTTTCTAGTTCTGTTTCTAGTTCTGTTTCTAGTTCTAGTTTCTAGTTCTGGTTCTAGTTCTGTTTCTAGTTCTGTTTCTAGTTCTGTTTCTGATTCTGTTTCTAGTTCTGGTTTCTAGTTCTAGAATGTTTAAAAACTTTGATGGATGAAGAGTTTCCTATTTATCCATCTATTGGGTTGTCCAGTTAGGAATGCGCGTTTTTTACTATTTTGTAAATTTCTCAAGATAGAGAAATCAAGAAAAAGAGATATATGAGTATTATTCGAAAGCTGAAGATCTCCTCTACATTTTGATATAAAAAGTTTTTGAATTTGTTCAGCTTTTGGGCAAATCGACTGCACAGAAGAAAACGAAATGGTTGAATAAAGTTGAAACTCGAATATTCGAAAAAATTCATTGAATCCAGTGACTTGAATCTTTTTCGCAATTCTCTTTTGTGCGTTTCGTTTGAATGTTATTGCAAAATGCAAAAACGAGGTCAATAGAGCACACAACGAGTCGATCCTCTTGTTGTCCACTCTCTTGTTGAATTGGAAAAATTGGGCAGTAAAAAAAACACGTTCTCTCACAGTTGTACAATTTTTGAAAGAGATTCAGAGAAAAAGAGGAGGAAATTTTGAAGGGAAGTCCTTAAAAGTGCAAAGTTATTTGCTGAGTTTTGAAATTTTTGGAATTGATTACCGAATTCGAATTGCCTAGTGCTTTTTTGGAGACTTTTTAAACGTAAACGTAAACGAATTCCTTCTAGTTCACTAATTTATGAGAAAAACATTTTTATGAGCTCATTATTAAATCTTGAAAGTCGGCTTGAAGCCGTTTTACTTTGAGCCGTTTTACTTTGAGCCGTTTTACTTTGAGCCGTTTTACTTTGAGCCGTTTTACTTTGAGCTGTTGAAGCCGTTTTACTTTGAGCCGTCGAAGCCGTTTTACTTGAAGCCGTTTTACTTTGAGCCGTTTTACTTGAAGCCGTTTTACTTTGAGCCGTTTTACTTGAAGCCGTTTTACTTCTGCAAAAACTAGAAACAAGTTCGAGATCCCATGGCCGACTCTAGAAGATGGACTTGGTCTCAAGTCAAAAAAAAGCCAGCTTGACTCGGTGCACAAAGCAAAAGGAAAAAAGCAAAAAAGTAATTAGGTGAGCAATCAGGAACTAGTCAAAAAAGAACGAGTTTCAAAGTACTCAGCTTCAGACTAAGCAAACATCTCACAATTGATGTTCACTATGCAAAACAAGTGAAGAAAGTTAGGTGAAATGAAGGCAGAATCAGTCTTGCTTGACCAGTCTTGCTTGACCAGTCTGGCTTGATCAGTCTGGCTTGATCAGTCTGGCTTGATCAGTCTGGCTTGATCAGTCTGGCTTGATCAGTCTGGCTTGATCAGTCTGGCTTGATCAGTCTGGCTTGATCAGTCTGGCTTGATCAGTCTGGCTTGATCAGTCTGGCTTGATCAGTCTTGCTTGACCAGTCTGGCTTGATCAGTCTGGCTTGATCAGTCTGGCTTGATCAGTCTGGCTTGATCAGTCTGGCTTGATCAGTCTGGCTTGATCAGTCTGGCTTGATCAGTCTGGCTTCAGCTTCGCCTCCACGGCCAACCATTGCCCAAATCCGAAAGTAAAATATATCAAAAATTACTTTTAGTTTCTGAAAAACAAAAAAGCTTTTTTGTTATCACGTCTTAGGAAAAAGTTATAACCGAAAAATCACCGTTTTAGAACATAAAAGAACATTCATCTCTAATCTTAGCATTGACCGAGATATTAAGGGATCTTTTATAGCCTTTTTTGACCACTATAGCATTTGTAACAATCCAGAATTATCTAAAAACTAGAATAGTAGAAAATTGAGGCCAAAAATGGGAAAAGATCGATGGAAATGGAGGGAAAGGAGAGAGAAAAACGAGAAATGAAAGAAATCCCATGTGTTTTCTTTTCCCTTTCCTCCATTTCGATCCTCTCTTTTCTCCAAAAAGAGGAAGGAAAAAGCACACGGAAGTTCCTTATTGCAGACCGATTTTTTTTTATGAAAAACACATCGAAAAATGATTAACTTTTTTCTTCATTCTGAAAATTATTGTTGGTAGAATGAACAACTAGTGAAAAACAGAACTTATAAAAATCAAAGACTTGCCAAAACATAGCTTTAATAGTGCCATTTCTAACCGAGAAAGAAATCGAGAAAGTTACCAAGAAAAAATCAAAATCAAAAATCAAATCAAGAAATTAACCAAGAAATCATTTTTCAACTTCTTCGACCTTTTTGAAATTTTCGTAAAAGCTTTGTAATGAAAATGCTTCTTTAAAACACTGCATTCAAACAGGATACCGTATTTTCTCTAATAGTAGTGCAGCCAGCCGAGTTGGCGACTATTTTACGGTTTCCAAGTTTCGCAGAAGAAGCAGAAGCTCAACACTCTAATCCTCCACAAGATCTCATAGTCAGCTACATTTTCCGACCCCACATCGATAGGTTCTGATAAGCGGTTCTCGAGATTTCGAGGAATTTAGGCGAAGCTTTGGGTGCACTACTACAGAGAGAATATTAGAGAGAATACGGCACTCATACTCACTCTGGAGGGTGTAGCTCAGTCAAAAGATCACCGATTACCATAAAAATTTTACAGGTAAATTTTGACTGGGCCTCCTGTAGCGGTACCCATTATCTAACCGATAGGGGCTCACAAATTTCTAAAACAAGCTCCCAAAGTTGAGAGTCGCACTTAGCCTAGTTAGACTAGTTGTGGCGTTTTCGAAAAACGAGAAAAAAAAACTCACCCTACAGCAAGACAACGCCAGCATCCACGTCAGCCGAGCAACCAAGTCATGACTTCAGTCAAAACAAGTGCCTCTTCTGGATTGGCCTGCGTGCTCCCCCGATCTCAACCCCATTGAGAATCTGTGGGGAATGCTTGCTCGTCGAGTTTATCACAATTCCACACAATACGCAAATGTTCAAGCACTCAAAGATGCCATTATCCGCGAGTGGAATGCTATTCCAAGAAGCACCATCAAGAAGCTAGTTGACAGCATGCCGAGTCGAATATTTGACGTGATCAGTCGCCAGGGACAAGCAACAAAATATTAGACTGTTATTGTTATAAATAAACCTTGTTATCATAAAAATTGAATAAAACTGCAACAACGACACCAAAATTCGGGGGGTGGCGTATGGTTTTGCACCGGGTGAATTTTCGTTTTTTGGCTGTTACATTTTCCCTATTCATGCTATGTCGACGATTTTTGGGGTTTAAGGGTTATTTTTGGTCCTGAATCTAACTACCTTTTCAGTTTTTTTGTCACTGGCACGGAAGCCGGAGAAAATTGAAATTTAGGGGGTGGCGTATGGTTTTGCTCCGCACTGTAGTAGTGCACCCAGCCGAGTTGATGACTATTTTACGGTTTCCAAGTTTTCGCAGAAGCTCAACTCTCAAATCCCTAAAAGGATCTCATCGTCAGCTACATTTTCCGACCTCACATCGTCACATCCGACCCACATTCACATCCGATCTCACACCTCACAATAGGGACTGATAAGCGGTTTTCGAGATTTCGAGTAATTTAGGCAAAGCTTACGGTACGCTACTATTAGGGAAAATACAGTAAACGGCGATTGATGAATAGATTTCTGTAAATAAATGTAAGAATCTTTGGGGTAAGAATCTTTGGGGTAAGAATCTTTGGGGTAAGAATCTTTGGGGTAAGAATCTTTGGGGTAAGAATCTTTGGGGTAAGAATCTTTGGGGTAAGAATCTTTGGGGTAAGAATCTTTGGGGAAATCTTAAGACTTTATCCAAGTCTTAAGCGTAAAATAATCGGGTTTTTACTGAAAATTAAAATGGTTTAAATATTGTGATTTCAATTTTTTCGTTTTTTTTGGCATTTATTTCTTTTTGTACAACTTTTAAACGCACAACCTTTTTTATAAGAATTTTTTCTTCAACTTTCTTGCAATTCTTGCAATGATCTGAAAAATGCGCGCTTTCATACTATAGCACAGTTTTCGAAGAACGTTTATCTTTTTGAATCTTTTTTTGAATTCCAAAACAGAACTAAAGCTTTCCTTTTCACTTTGATTGCTTAAACATTGAATTTCAATTTCGTTTTCAATTCCCAAATGCTTTCATCATCAGAAAACTTCTCAAAAACTTCTCAAAAAGAGACAAAACAAATGAAACAATACAATTTTTTGTTTTGTTTTTTTGAAGGCAATGAAAGGAAATTGAAATAAGCTTTTAAACGCTTTTAAACGCTTTTAAACGCTTTTAAAACATTACAAAACCTTTTACAAAAGCAAACGCATATGAAGATTTCGATTTTCGCATTTTCGATATGAAGGAATTGCTCTTCGTGTGGTAATTTGATTCGTCTCAACTTCTACCCGATTTTCAGCTTTTTTTTCTCCAATATCGGATTGGCTAAATGTGAAAATGGTCGTGAGGATGTGTATTTGAAGTTTTTGACGAATTTCATCGATAAACAAGTCGATCCATGCGAGAATTTCTTTCGACATGTAACGAAAATTTGAAACATTTATTTGCTAAAGACTACAAATTGAAAAGTGCTTGAAAGTGCTTGAAAAGTTCACTTTCTAAGCTCACTAGATATTTTCTAGTAAGAATCTTTAACTTATCTGCTTTCCCAGTGGGTTAACTTAAAGCTTTGAACTTTACAAAATCAAAACCAATCATAAATATTAGGTTGTCCGGAAATAAATGAGCGTTTTGTATTGTTTATTATTTGGGTGCATTTTTGGGTACATTTTTCTCAATAAAGTATGCTCTGTCTTTTGTAATTTTATCTACAATTAGAAAGCTGAGTTCGTGCTCTCTTTAACCATACTTTTAAATTTTGTTAAATTTTAGGTTTTAAACCATACCAAAATTAACTCAAAATGTAATATCCACACAAAGTTGATGGCTAAAAATTTAAACCCCACCCATTATAGGCGGGACTTAGCCTTTTGCCTCATAAATTTGCATGAATATTACATTTTAAAGAGGGGGGGGGGAGTATTAATCGCGACCGAGTAACCATAAAAAAAATTTTTACGGCAACCACCTGTTTTTTTATTTTAATATTGCTGATTTTATTATAAAAAGAATAAAAATCACCCGACTAGAGTGATTTGATGGGTTTACAAATTTTTGGAGACGCTGCAAGGCTCGCGTAGTTCATCTAAAAGGTAAACTGCTGTACTTGAGCGAAGATGAAAGTGAGCAAGAGGAAGAATTATAGATTAACAACTTATTTTTATTACCGTAGTCAAACCTCCAATTTTCATTCAGTTATCCCAATTTTTGTATCATTCGATGAGGAATCAAAAGGCTCAATCAATGATACCAAAATCTGGCTGATCGAATGTAAACTAAAGGTTTGACTACGGTAGTTTTCTCAAATCGGTGCCTTTTAGAAAAAGCATTACTCGAGAGGAACACACTCTAATAGATAGCTTAGAAAAAGGCAGCTAGAGATGTTAAAAACCAAAAGTGTAGATCAAAAGTCTTTTTTGAGTCTTGTTCTTTTCCTTGTTCCACAACATCAAAAAAATGATAAAACAAAAAAAAACGAGAAAAACGAAGGAAAATCGCGAAATCGGAAAATCGGCTATTGATCTGAGGGTCGCTGGTTCGACTTCCACCGATGACAATATTTTTCAAAAATTTTTTGCTAAGATTCTGAAAATGCGTGTCTAGGGGTTATTTTTGACGCTGATCACGAAACACATGTTTTTAGCCTAGGTTTCTTCACGGAAAACTAACGAAACGTGAAAACAGCTATTTTTTGGCTCTGCCGCCCTTTACTAAAATAGCTGTAAAAGCTTTTAGAAAAGAGATATCTCAAAACGGTTTTTACCAATCGATCCGTCTTAAATTCAGCTTTAGGATGAGCTATAAAACGTCAAAATTGGACAAATTTAAGGTACTCTCCCAAAAAATCCGAAAGGACTTTTCCACCAACCCAATAGATGAACTACGCGAGCCTTGCAGCGTCTCCAAAAATTTGTAAACCCATCAAATCACTCTAGCCGGGTGATTTTTATTCTTTTTATAATAAAATCAGCGAGATTAAAATAAAAAACAGGTGGTTGACGTAAAAAAATATTTTTATCGTCACCCCGGCCCCGATTAATACCCCCCTTTAGCCATACTTTTAAATTTTGTTTCGAATTTTCGCCGTCTTAGATGTCCGAAACTGAACTTTCGCCAGATTTTCTTTTATGAGTTCAAACTCGGTCGCAATGCAGCTGAAACGGCTCGTAACATTAACAAAGTTTGGGGCCAGCTACCGGCATACATAAACTTGCTTCTCGTTGGCAAAAATGTGCTAATTGTAATGGTTTTTATTTTGATTAATAAAGTTTTGTTTGGATCAATTTATGGGATTTGAAATATTCGAGTTGAAAACGCTCATTTATTTCCGGAAAACCTAATACTTTAATAAAAAGCCTCGTATTAGAAAGCTTCTTTTTAGAAAATCATTTTTACTCAGCTCCTAGATTTTTCTTAACTACTTTTAGTACCAAAAAATACTAGATTTCAAGAGTTATCGTTTGACACCTAAGCGCAAACTGTAGCTTAAAGCAGCGCCGAGAAAGAGACGTTCAAAGTTAGACTACGCGACTGTACGCTCGTCATTATCGTATGGCGTTCTATTAGAGTATTCTATTAGAGATAGATGAATTGTCTGATACATGAAAGAAATCAATTAAAAGTTAATATCTAAAAGAAACTCTGGAAATGTTAAAACAAAGTTTTTTCAGGTGTGCCCGAAAACGATCAAATCCTCAGAGTTACCTACGAATAACGCTTTCACGGCCGAAGAGAAGGCACAAATTCAACGAAAAATGATGCCAGCTGGAAAAATTGAGGTTTAATTGCAATTAGAAGTGAAAACATTTCCCCTTTCTCTTTCTTGTTCAATCATAATGTTCAATTCAATCATTCGATCGGCGATTTATTTGGATGTGTAGTTGGACGATCGCCTCTAACTCATTCCAACACGAGTAGACGTTCCGATCTGAAAAAATAATAGATTAGAGAATAGATTAGATTAAACTTTATCAACTAACGTAATCATAGCACAGTTTAATGATTTTGCTTACCAACCTGAATTTCTCGCAAAGACTCCACACAACATCAGATTCATCTGCACTCAACGGGCATCTTCTCATCTAAAGATGGGCTAAAGATGGACTTATTAAGACAAGACTGAATAACGAAGTAGTCAAAAATTTGAAAATCTATATCATCATTTTTCTTTAGTACTGAAAAGCTTTACATGAGCTATGTATCGGTAAAAATACAGGAAATCTATGAAAGGAAAGCACTTTACACATCGGCGTGAAAATGCGTTTTCTATCGGATTTTTCCGGGAGTACCTTTTTTAGATGCAGAAAATTGTGCTGATTCCGAATCTGAAGGAATTTTTCAAATCCCCTTGACAGAAATTTTTTAAATTGAGTTTTAGCGCTTTTTTGGTCATTTTGTATGGGAAATTTTGTGGTACCCTGCAGTTTGGGGCTCGTAACTCGACAAGCAGGGTCTAGAACAAAAAACGAGGGGATAATTTTTATTCTAGAGACTCTCACGAACATTTTGATACAAAAATCATCAAATGTTTTTAGTGTATTTTGCAAAATTTCTTTAAAGATGTTATAACTTTTTGTAGAGTCGAGCAAATTTGATGATTTTTGTATCAAAATGTTCGTGAGAGTCTCTAGAATAAAAATTATCCCCTCGTTTTTTGTTCTAGACCCTGATTGTCGAGTTACGAGCCCCAAACTGCAGGGTACCACAAAATTTCCCATACAAAATGACCAAAAAAGCGCTAAAACTCAATTTAAAAAATTTCTGTCAAGGGGATTTGAAAAATTTGGATAAAATTAGAGACAAGATTAGAGACAAGATTATGGTGGAAAGAGAAAGGGAAACGAAACGAATTTTTTGAATTTTGAAACTCTACACTTTACAGTTCATTTCAGATGTTTTTGTTCAGAAAAAATCCAAACAAAATCCAAAACTGATTCAATTTTCAGAAATTCCTTGCATCGATCATCTTGCATGGGAGAGAGTCGGATAATCC